TCGATGTGTCATAGGAGCCTCATCCCATATGATTAAGGATGTTTCTTTTAATAGATCAGCCAAATGTGTACCGTGTTTAATTGGACATGTTGATGTTGCATCCAGAATGAGAGGGATTTTGAATCTTGAATGTGCCGTTGTTGCTTTGGGAAGAAGTGTTGCTGCAATCCTCGATGATGCGACCAGAACAACTATCTTCCCCCAACTCCTAAGCTTTGCTGTAATTACATTATAGAGATACGTTTTGACTGTACCTCCGTGACCATATAGGAAGAAAGCACGACCCATCTTGTTGTGCACTGAGTTGATGACTGCTGAATATACATTGGTTTGCTCAATATTCAGAGATTTCAACATAGAGGTGGCTAATACATGTTGCTGGTTTGTATCAAAAGCTGGATGCTCGTTTATGAGTGGGTTCTCGCCATTATCGCATGGACCATCGGATGGGAGTGGAAGATTAAAGTCCTCAAGAGTCATTGAGTGTGAGCTCAACATAGCCTGTAGTTGATATAGAACCCAGTTATGTAATCGTTCGTCGCTAGGCATCATAGTTTGATCCCTGAGATTCTTGGCTAAACTGTATGCATAATCTTCAGACATAGACTTCCAAGAAGAATTGAACAATGTGATCGGGCTAGGTATTTCACAAAATATAAGCGTCGACATGAAAGTGCTTCGAATCACCCGCGACATGCTAGAAGATGAAATATCACTCAGCACTCGTATCCACTCCGAAGAGTCTGATAAAAGGCCCAATCTTCCACAAGCTTTTTCAAAATCTGAACAAAGTTCTCCATTGACGGTTCTCAGATGAGCATAACTGATAGTGCCGCGAACTTTCGTGAGCAGCATTCGGAGGAAAAAAACATCGCCAGAACCTGGCGGAACATATGCAATTCTGCCTATAGCAAATCCTTTTTTGCGAGGACTCCACTCTTTACAGTCAGGTAGCCAAGTGTAGTTGTTTGGTGTCTGTGCATATGTAAGAATTCTTGCTTGGGGATCCCTACGATTAAGCGCAAACCATTCTGTTAAATGCGTCTTACCGGCGTATGGATTTCCCAAAATATTCCGAACATTGGAGTGCTTCTTATAAGGTATTTTTTGCTGGCCGTCCAAGTGAACTCCCAAGCGCACTACTGCTGGTTCTCTTACATGTAATGAATATTCATTTAGCCTCCATATAGCTTCATAAGATGACAACGATCGGCAGTCAATGAATTGTTGAATTTCATCTTTATGTCTCACAGGCTGCACTTCTGGATTGCTCTGGGGTGCATTAGCATTTTCAGCAATCACTAATGATCTGTCCGGCCCTTTTGTCACATATTTGAAAAGATATTTAATAAGTTTGCCTTTGTGACATACCTCAACATTGATATGAGCCTGCATTCTCACTAACAAATTTCTGTTGTATGGGACAACATGTCGATTGTCGAGGACTGAACTTCCCTTTTGAACCTCTATGCCAGAGTTAGATCTTCTGTAGATGACATTTCCGAATTGGTCAAATGACGTTGCCGAGTTAAACTCTTTTGGGAATTGCTTCGAACATCTTCCGTTTGAGGGCCGTTTATTGTCTCGCATGCACGGTGCATTTGTGTTTGCTTCTCCACATGGGCCAAGTAACATATATTTGCAAACAGCCTCATATCCAACTGGATCTTCTTGAGGGTCAGGGAGTTCGGCTGAGATGACTTCATCAATATCATCTGTTGTCCTTAGTTTATTCTCTTCAGCCAGCCAAACCAGCAAGTGTATGTGAGGCAAACCTTTTTTTTGGAACTCCACTGTATACATTACTGGTACAAAACATAACTTGTTAGAAAGGGAAGTATCCAAAATATGTGCATTGAAAAGTAAGTAATCGCTAATACTTCCCAAATTATATTAAATGATCATACTGCTCTTACTTGCGATTGTCTTCCCAAAGTAGGAGTTTTTCTTAATGTCGTCGACGAGAATGCTCAGCTTTATGTGGAAAATCCTCGAAACCACCATTGGTTTGTCCGAACAATTCGGGCCAACAATGTCATGAAAAGCTCCAGTTATTTCTTCCCACAATGAATTACACGTAAATGTAATAAATAGATCTGGATTTCCATAGAATTCAACCACCGCCATTGCATCGTGATATAATTGTTGCATATATCGTGGGCTGCCTATATAAGTCCCAGGGAGCACTACATGACCCACTTTATCCCCATCAAGATCACCTCGCGCCATTGCATCTTGTAAGCCTTGATAAACCTCAGCTCTAAGTTGTGGCTGATGGTAGCATAAAAAAGCTAGCCTATTTAGCTCTATTGATGAATAGGCGTCTATGCAAAAATGTTGAAGAGCTTTTCCAGCCTGAACAATTGTATGGCCTTCGTTGATGCGATATTGGAGCCTAAATGCATAGTACTCACGCTGAGTAACAAACTGTCGACGCATAGAAGGAGGATAGAAAGCTGACTTGTACTTGATAAGTGGATGATAGCCATCCTCTCCATATGGAAATAAGAGTGGGAAATGCAATGCATCAAATTTTGGATTGAGACTTGTAATTCTCTTCAAACCCTCATATATGTGATCAACAATGATATCTCGATCCTCTCTGTCCGTAATAAAATCGCCCGGTATAAGTGCCGCGATTTCAGTGCTACTGGGCAAGTCATACTGTCGATTTCTGCTCTTAGCTCCAAAAATTCTAAGCTTTAAACTTGTTGTTGCAGAATCTTGCAGCTGCTGCCGAACCCGCCTGAACGTTTTGACAAGTTCATTATGCTGATCTAACATTTGAAGCAATAAAGTGAGCAATTCTGGCATAAGTAGACCATCATGGGAAGCAAAGTTCGCCAACCGGTTGTCAATTTCATTCTCAGGTTCGAAAATATAGAGCTGAGCAAACTTTGGTTTTTCACCATCAGGAGGCAGCAATGAACCAATTCTATGATAATTTTCTCCACATATGACCATTGAATAGGGCCCCCTTCCAGAGAGAGAGCGAGGGTCGATAGAAGCGCCAAATGATGTGAAGCACAATGAACCATTATACGGTCTAATGTTATCCCTGAAATGCTTCGACATAGCGCCACCATCAAACCGCAGAAGTTCAGCCAACAAATGTGGAGGTTGTGCTATAAGCGGCAGTCCAACACGACCTTTTTGACAACATAATCCATAAATTGGATTAGTTGTTGCTCGACGCCGATCGAGTCTTTCCATATCCCAAAACAAAGCACCACAGTATTTACAGACACATTCTGGCTGACCAATTCTGAGAATATCATTGTGTAGTGGCTTCCTAGCTGTGGGAATATGCCTACTACAGGATGGGACCTCATCTGACCGCCGTCGACTTGGACGATCAGTTTTTCGACGGTTAGCCCCTGTTACTCGATTGCTGTTATTGTAACATTCAGCCTCTACATCAGGGTTCCCTTGTTCCTGATGAAAAATGGATCGAGTTATATCTCTGGATCCTAATTGTTTCATGGTCTGATAGCGCGATTTCTTTGGCCGTGATGAATCTGATATATGCACAGCAAACATAAGAGTAAGCGATTATAAGCGCCCGATACGCACGGTAATTATCAACGCATAATATGTTCATGGGTATTCCATAGTTCAAACAGCAGATATAGCATAATATTGAACTCATCACCTGTTGCTGACGGCGAAACTTGATGAAGATTCTGCGATGACCCCTGTATGTTGTTCTGAGTCTCGATACCTGTATCCCCAAACACAGTTGAAGAAGTTGTAAGATCCTCCGATGTTTGCTTGGGAAGTTCAACTCTAGGTCTCTTACGTGTCAAAGTGTGATATTGAGATTTTCTTATTCTCGGCGGCATTGTTGCACAGCGAAGACAAAAAATGGGAAAAGATCAACATCATTTACTGGCGAGATGATTCATTAATCGGTTCCAAACGAATAGAAACGGATTCGGATATATCGAATGAGGAAGTGGTGAAAATGAATAACAGCGACTGCTCTTACATACTCAGGAGACTCATTGATAACAAATATAAATGAGAAATCACTCTACCTTCGACAATCAGGAACGTGATGGTTGTATAGATGAGTATCCAAATTCGTTGGGCAAGCAAATGATACAAATGAGCAAATCTGAGATGAAGAATAAGAGTGGAGGGAGAGATGTTTCTGAAGAAGTTAACATAAACCCAATGAGTAAGAAAACCTATATTAAAATGTGCCATCATGGATATCAGAGCTATGCATAAGTATCTATCTATATTAAAATGTGTTATTATGGGAATGTGAGACATGCATTAGTATATTACTTACTAACTCACAAAATATCTAACCTTACATTTGATTACTAAATTGAAGAAAAGCAATCATTTTAGTTTGGTCTTCGTATAAAAAGAGGCCGCACCATGTTAAGAACATACATTCCCATCGCAGATTGCATGAGCGTTTTTCCTTTTCGGAACACGCGAGCTCAATTGGAATACATAAACTATATTAACGAATTAAAAAGTACATTCCTATCTAACTACTCGATAATTATACATGCTCAAGCGTGCGTTTTTATGTCCGTCGTTTTCACATAAGATTGAACATACTCCGATGATCGTGGTAACTAAATTTGTAGAAGTTAACCTCTAATATAACATAGGTTTGTTGGGTCTTAAGAGGAAGGATCAACGAAAGCTCAGCAGAACTGGAACACGACAACGCTAAGAATTGGCATTCACCGAAGCTGAAAATTGAAATTGCCTATTCACCCAACAATAAGCAAAAATAACATTATATATATAGCACCCGGTAAGATCAAACAGCATGGCAGCAATATTGCAGTGAGCAACCACGCAAAAGTTATACAGTATAACATAAAGCAAAAGCATAGAGGGAATACATCGTCTAATAACATCCACATAGATACAGCCAGTACATATTTGAAACAAAAAGGGCTAAACCACGGTCGTTCAAACACAGAGAACAACTCGCAAAACGAAGTTCAACATCTCCTTCTAATATAAAACAGCTACGACTCCGAGGGCACCATCGAACATAGATCAGTTCCTGCTACAAACAAAATAGGAAGATGAGAAACATCGTATGCACAAAAACTAACTTGCAACGAAGATGCGACAGAAAGACCGAGGAGTAACCTTCAACCCATGATCACTTCTTAAACAAAGCACGCTTTGACGCCGAATTTTTCTGACTATCCACTGAAGAATCCCATTCCATATTAACTCCTGCCTGCGAGGGAGCACCATGTGAAACTTGAGCGACATCGCCATCATCCAATTTCTCCACTTTTATCTTGGCGAGTGGAGAGACCAACCTTCAACCAAATAGAGTTCCTAATTGTCAGAACCAGGGAAACAACACATGTATAAGACAATGGAGAACTGGTAATGTACAATAGAAATACTTACAGCGATGCCGAAGGCGAGGCAGCGGTTGAACCTAAGGGCTTCCCAGGAGATGATTCGGGGGAAGGCTTGAGAATCTTTGAAGCAAGCATAGATAAATCACGACCAATAACTTGAGAACTCATCGACTCATCAATCCTGGTTGATCGCCTGAGGACCATCGAAGCAGCAGACTGGGTGGATGGAGCGCTGGATTGGACTGCAGAAGACGCGGCCACAGTTGCAGCAGGTAGGGTGGACCCCACCTGTACACCCATCACTGAAAGCTGCTAATCGCCGAGAACCCGCGACGCAGCATCAATATCCTCACCTCCGACATTTATAGGAATAGGATCCCGCAAAATCCTGGGCGCAGGGCTAGAAAATCTGCAAACCATAATAACCAATTCAGACAACATCCTAAACAAAATCACAAATAAGTAAAATAAGCTTCATGAAAACCATGATCACCTCTCAATTACATCCTCCTGGTCAGCGATGTTAAATGGCACAGCTGATACTTCAATAGGGATTGAATCTGAAACCTTTTCCTTTCCCTTCGCAGCCCTTGAAAACATATTACAAAAATTACTCACTTTAATCATGACAGATAAACCAACGCAAGTCATACAGGAAACATAGCTAATTACACCAACCTCGATGAACCCGATGGGCCTCCCACGCTACTTGCTGCACCCAGAGAGGGAGAAGCCGATGGCCGTGGCGAAGAAAACTCAAGCAAATCACCCACCACCGTAGGATCATCAAGAGGGACGACCTGGGTAACACGGAATTCACCTGAAGAGAAACCAGTAGGGCCTGACAACGGCAATCTACAGTCAAACTTGACATATTGCCCTCGCAATTGATGCAGCTGTGGGGGCAGCTGACCAGGACGATGGGGAAACCTCTAGGCTAGGTGTGCAGCAGAACCGTTGACTAGCGCAAGCGCACACCCCCCCATCAGTATAAAGCGAGCCTCGCAAGAGTCGTCCCTCAGTGTAAGAAAGAGCTTGTAGCTGAAGGAATAAAGAACATAAGCATCAAAACTCATAACAGACAACAAAGACACGAAAAACACAGATATGCAATCATACTTGACCCGGGTCTGTTCCTCATCCAGTTGCCAATCCTTTGGGCACCAAAACGAATCATCACGACGTTTCGAAACAGCCCATGAACATAACTTGCATGAAATATAATACCAAGGTGTGCTTGACTCGACATCAACAATCACTCCACCATAGCGATACTTTTCTTCCTACAAAAGAAAAGAAAGCACGTCACTTGCAAGCACGGGATCCAACTTTTTTAGAGGAATAAGCAAAACCAGCAAGGAGTTCGTCCTAGATAAGGCCACCAACTGCCCCAAAGTCTTGGTGCGACGATCTGCATCAGCTGTAGCTTCAGCAGCAGTAGCAAACTCAACTGGCATGGACGCAACAGTCTCGTGTTTCTCAGCAAACCTGGCAGAGATCCAAGCACCATAAGCACAACAACATAGAGTTATTAACACACAACACATTACACGAACATGACACATAAAAACGGACACAGCCCGCAATTAGCTTACCTAGATGCAAGATAATAAGCCTTAGGTACTGGCGGGTTGACTGCTACGCGAGTAGCGGCCGAACTGGACAGGACATAATCATCTAAAAAGAAGCACAAAAGAGACAGAAGGGAGGGGAAAACCAAGCACACTAATGAGCACCACATAATCTCGAGAAAAGGTGCATGCAATAAGGCAACCACAACGTACCCCCCAACTTATTAACCAGCAAGCCGCCAAATGCCAATATGACAGCTTCAATTGAGTCAGCCTGAGTGAGAGCAACATGATCCAACACTGCCGAGAACTCATCCCAGAGCGTAATCGAGACCTTCGATCCACTGAGGAAGTATATGGGACACGTAAGAAAAGCAAAAAACAAACACGACACATACAACCAAACTCAGAAACCCAGGAAAAATGCGTAATACCTTTCATCCTCAATAATAACCGTCTGCTTGACTGCGAGACCGTTATTGGTGATCTTGTGGGATATCCCACTGATCGAATGGAGTCTGCCAACAACATCTACGAAGAAAGACACACAGCGGCAAAATCTTAGCAAACAAACGAAAGACATATAAGCAAAACCTAACCCGAGAAAACAAATCCACTGACCTGTCAAATAACGATGATTACCGGCACGAATACTTAACTGGGAGAAATCCACAAACTCGTAAGCATCAACCGGGAAACTCTCAGCAGGAAGAGCACAAGGCAGGAAAGAAGTCGAAGGCGAAAGACCCAAAGCCAAATCAAAAGAACACGACCGATACTGATTCGGCGGATTGCTCAGAGCGAAGGACTTTATGACATATATCATCCCAACCGAGAGATTACGGCGAATCCCAGCAGCCATCGAAGTTGGTGAAACGCCCTGAATCAGCATACCCTGCGCAGACCATGCCATTCCGGCTCGTGAACAAAGCAAAGCGGCGAGAACAAATCAGAGCACAGAAGAGAAAGCGAGAAGGACAAGAAACTAACCGTTTTATCGGTCCAAAGAGTGCAGTAATTGTAGATCCTGTTGTCCCCCGGAGACTTCGACGGCCACACATGCAGCAAGCGGAGGCGCAAAGAAATCCCGGCATTGCGCGGGCCGTCGAGGTTACAAAGCAATGTGAATTCCATGTTCTTGGAGACGGAGAGAACCGAAGAGGGTGGGAACGTTTTTTTTTAGAAATAGACCAGAACGACAGAGAAGAAGTTTCGGCGCCACAGGAGAGTATAAAAAAGAGGGACATGAAAAGTAGCTTAAAGGGCGGTGCATGTCAGTTTATGGTCCAATAACAAACGGAAACGTAAGGTAGGGCAAATAGCACCCTCGCAAAGAGATAAGGACGGGGGGAAATAAGAAACCGCCAGGGATAGGAAGTATAAAAAGAAGCGGAGAATTTTGAGGCGCCGAAGCGGCGGGTGTCAGATACCAGGCCAAACGCAAAGAGTTACACACTCCCCGAGGCCCAAATGCATGAGAATGTGCAGAAAGAATAAGCGGCCATCATTGGCCGTAATTCAGAAAAGCAAGAACAAATATACACGGCAAGAGAGAAAAGCAATGAATGACGTATAGAATGACCGGTGTAATCATTATAAGAAGGTATAATTCTCGGTGAGGATGCTCGAAGGAAATAGAAAGCGAAGGGAGGATGAACGTGCAGCTGAGGGCAACGCGGCACACACAGCAACAACGGCGGGACCTAGACGCAGGAAGCCAACCAATCAGCAAAGGCGGCTGGTCTCAATCGCAGAGGACGCACCAATGGGAGGAGGGTGAACAGTAATTTTGAGTCTAAATGAACAGGAATTTCGTGTCTAGGCGTACAATAACTTGTCTTTGCAAATAACTTGTTCTAATATGAACAGAGTGTTAAGGTCTAAGTAAATTACTAAATTATATCAAAAGCTCGAGAAAATCTACGTTTTACTGTGTTTATCCTAAACTAAAAAAAAAGATTTCTATAAAAAAAGACATGGTATGTGTTTATGTGTTAAGTATACCGTTAATAATCGAGTCAACAAAATATTTTATGCAAGAAGGTACTGTAATTATTTGTGTCTAGAGTTAGGGTGGACAAAGTGAGTGAGTAATCCACGTTTGAAATCGACAAACACGCAAATAATCTCAACCGTGGTGGACGAGTGATTAGTGTGGGTGGATTGTGAAGCAATAAATCTCCTATTTGCACTTATGGTGTGGGGATGGGTGGACTGTGTATGGAAAATAGTTTTTTCTTATTTTACTAACGGACAGTCATCGTATTTCGGAAACATCCCAAAATACGTTAGTTGCTGTTTGTGCCACAATACTTCCTCTCTCCCAATGCGCTTCCTCTCTCCACACCAGGCGCCCAGGCCCTGCAAGACTAACGCCTAGAGGGCTAAACCCGCCCGTTAGCACTCCGACGATCAAGTTAGTAGTGATTCTAGAGAGATAAGTGAAGGGAGAAGTTTTAGTGTGAGAAAACCGACCTGCTTAAATGCCACCTACCGGGGGCTATTTATACTACTAGAGCTTCCGACCAAGCTCCGACCAACCCCTGCAACACAACCTTACGTCAGCCCAGCATTAAATGCCCAGCCAGGTCCAACGCCTACGCGCCTACACGTGGCACATTGTCCGGCCTCCACGTCGGGGCGCATAGGGGGACCACCTGCCCCGTGGCGCCTTTCCGACTTCTCCCATCCGTACTTCCTTGTCTGCGAGCCTATTTTGTCGTTATGCGCCCCTCTTCCTTTAGCGCTACCTAGGTCATGCCCTAATAGGCCATAAATGGGCTTCAAGCCCAACAGGCTCCTGACTTTCGTGGGCTTATCCCTAATACCCCCAACAATTGCCCCCCAGTTAGGTGCTCACAGGTGAGCGCCTAACTATGAACCTAACTATGCGCGAAATTTCCCGGTGTGTGGGACAATTCAAAGGCACGCATTACTCGAGTAACCTTCGCCCATTCGACCAAAGGGGCGCCTGGGGCCACCTTGCCCCCTCTCCAATTCCCTTCGAAGCATGGCTATTGCCCTGTCTTGGTCAGCAATGATCTTAAACAGCTCCCTCTTTGACAACGAATCACTTTCCATAGATGGGCGCTCACGGCTTTCTTCCTCAACCTCCATGCTCACTACGGGGCTAGACCGCTGCTCGCTCCCCTCGTGACTGGAGTCCTCCGTTCCCACATCGTCAGCGCCTGCATTCCCCTCGTTCAAGTCTGCCATCTGCCTAGAACTTCTGAGCGCCCCTTCCTGGCGCCCCAATTGTTTGTGCCACAATACTTCCTCTCTCCCAATGCGCTTCCTCTCTCCACACCAGGCGCCCAGGCCCTGCAAGACTAACGCCTAGAGGGCTAAACCCGCCCGTTAGCACTCCGACGATCAAGTTAGTAGTGATTCTAGAGAGATAAGTGAAGGGAGAAGTTTTAGTGTGAGAAAACCGACCTGCTTAAATGCCACCTACCGGGGGCTATTTATACTACTGGAGCTTCCGACCAGGCTCCGACCAACCCCTGCAACACAACCTTACGTCAGCCCAGCATTAAATGCCCAGCCAGGTCCAACGCCTGCACGCCTACACGTGGCACATTGTCCGGCCTCCACGTCGGGGCGCATAGGGGAACCACCTGCCCCGTGGCGCCTTTCCGACTTCTCCCATCCGTACTTCCTTGTCCGCGAGCCTATTTTGTCGTTATGCGCCCCTCTTCCTTTAGAGCTACCTAGGTCATGCCCTAATAGGCCATAAATGGGCTTCAGGCCCAACAGGCTCCTGACTTTCGTGGGCTTATCCCTAATACCACAACAGTTGCTAATTTTTTTCTCCAAACTACAACACATGTATATGATTTCCCAAACTACCAATGTTTTCTGTGGTTCCCGACAGTGAGGCTCGATCTACCTAGGGGATTGACTGTCAGGTCAACGATCCAGTCGAGTTGCGTTCAACGGATGCAAATGGTGGAGACCAGACGAGGCAGATCGAGGCTAGGGGGCGCTGATATACCGATAATTATACATGTTTTCACCCCTATTCTGAAGCCGTTTGTGATGTGGAATCTCGTGTTTTAAGCCGATTTTACGCTAGGTTGTGTGTTTATGTCATATTTCAGGTCCCAGCGTTGGAATCGAGGCGGAGAAACGAGTTCTGGGTCGAAAGGAGCGAAGTTGGGACGAAGTGGGCAGTAGGAGGAAAATACCCGGTCAGGTGGCCAAATACCCGACCGGGTATTCATCACTTTTGGGCGCCCGAGAAGCAGAGAGGGGCCCGGGCACAACAGCAAAATCCCCGGTCGGGGATTATGGCGAGTGACCGAGGATTTCTCCTTTGACTGAAATGGTGCGCTGCGATAATACCCGGTCGAAACCCAAGATACCCGACCGGGTATTTCGACCGGGTATCGCGACCAGGCAGCTGATATAAGGAAGAAGAAGGCCAACATTGAAGGGTTCCGAGTTTTTGAGAGAGAAAGCGATACCTAGAGAGAGAAAGCGACGAACCAGAGTTCCCAAGCGCCATAGATCGATCTTCAACACCATTGGAGCCCGTCTTGAGCTTGGAGAAGTGCGATTAAACGTCCAGGAGCAGAAATCCAACTTCACAGTATGATTTCCGTGTCTGAATCTGCTTTTGCTTCTTTCTCTATGGAGTAGTTTCCCCATTCATCTGGGTATGGGGAACCCTAGATTTGTATGCTAGGTCTGATTGTATGAACCCAAGTACAGAGTTTGTGAATTGATTATATTCGATTGAGGTTTGCATGATTGAATGACTTGAATCCTGATCAAATTCCTGTTGTTTCTGCTTTGACCTGGAATGAGAATATCTGCCTAGGTTGATAGAGTACCCTTAATCGAAGGTGGCGAATTGGTGACTTTAGTCGAGGAGCCAATTCGCTATTCTGTACCGAAGTTAATTCTGTACCGGAGGTTTGGTTCATTAGGGCCTCAATCTGTTTACTCCGGTGGAGGTTAGTCGCCCGCTAGAGACTCAGATTGAGAGGGTCTGGAGACCTTTAGTCGAGACTTCAGGCTAATTGAGAACCTTCCGCAGTATAACTTTCATGAAAACTGAACTTGGTAAATTGCAATCCGTCTTAACTGCAGTCTAGGGGGAACCATATCCGGGTGACCTCTCTTGACTTGACAACAACCGTTTACTTGCTTTGTGTTTTGTTTGCTTGAGTTGCACTAAAAGTTCACCGCTAAATAACAAGAATTCACCGAGTAGTCATCACATCTAGGACCCGGGTTGATAATAAAACCCAAACCCGCTATACTACGCTTTAGGAAGTGGTTACACTTGGCTATTTTCTAGAGTGACAGTAGGAGTGAGTCAGGCGCGATGCACGACACGTGGCATTGATCAAACCGTTCCCCAATGATCCAGTCTGATTGACCCGTCTGAAGCGACGTGGATCGATCCCAATTGTCACCTTCCACCGTTGATCGATGGTCAATGCCACGATCTGAGTGGTTCGATCCCCTCTCCTGCGAACCCTCTCCTGCACAGTTCGACCCCCTCGCAACGAACCCCTCCTCCCCTAAAACCCATAAATACCCTTCCCCACTCCACCACAAATCATACTACACCATTCCACTCTTCTTCCTCTCTTCCTTACACCACTTTAGAAGAAAACAAGTATGCTTTGTTGTTGCGACTATACCCGATCTTCCACGTTAGAAGTTTTCTTTTACTTGGTACTTCTATCTATCCCTCAAATTACACAACTCCACCTTTCATACTATATGGACCTTGAGATTTATGATCCTAGAATATACATTTATTCGAGTCAGTGAGATATCAATTTGTTGGATGAGCAACCTTACCATTGGTCCGAAAGTGTTTGGGCGGAGACCGGTAAACATTTGATCATATACCTTGTATTTTTTGAAATGCGATGTTATATTTTTAAAACATTTTTCAAAAAATAATTATGTTAATCTTTTGTAGGAACATCTTGATGTCATCACCCATCGTGGGGCATCCGTTTTGCCTCCATGGGATGATCGAATCGAGCCCTTCATTGAAAGATACATGATTGGCGAGTGTGCGAGTGTTCGTGATCGTGAGAATGGAGATTGACTACAACCAGTAATCATTTTCCTCCATCCTAAGTCCCAACTTAATTGATTCATTATTCTGGTCGTCAGAATGAGTCCATTGTTCATTAGACCATATATCGTCCTACTCGCGCCGGTTATATATGGGTTATTCGATGTGTGGGAAGATAGCGGCAGAGTCTCGACGCCGAATCCAACTCTATCGTTTCGAACATTTTTCAGGGGATGTTGAACTCTCACGTGTATATATGGGTTATTCTGTTTGATTTGATGGTCAGAACCTTCTATTAAGAAAGAAACCTAAATTGTACTTCGTTCATAATCACCATTCTTTTAATTCACTACTCTCTATTTTCATTTGTCTCCCTCGGCCCTCAGGTACATTGCTGTAAGCATCATGCAATAAGTTGCGACTTGCGACTTTGTGACGTCTTGGTGGGTGTGGTGATGAGATTTCGTCGAATTCATTATCAAAGAGGCTTTGATCTATCGTATCTTTGATTAATTTTGATTATTTAACGTAATGGTGTTTATGTTTGTAAATATTAGTAGTGATTCTTATATGTACATATTATAATGTAGTAGTTGTTTTTAAGTTGGGATTCTTACGGTAATTATTGGTTTTTGTTAACTATTTGTAGCTTTTTGTTTATAAGTAAGTAGTAGTAATTTTTTTCATTTGTAATAGTAATTTATTATTTCTAGTAGTGGTTTTTACTAAAATTCGGTGACCATTTACTACTTAATTATCGGTAAAATACTACTAATTAAATTAAATAACTAATGATACTAAAAAAAATACAATTTAAAAATCGAAAAAGCACTACTAATTGGATTAAAGTAACTACAATGCTTATAAAAAACACAACTGTAAGTAGGGCTATTGAACCAAGCCGCTCATGAACGGCTCGGCGTCCGACTTGAGAAAAACTTGTTCGAAACTCGATTCGTCTTTTAATCAAGCCGGCTCGCGAACAAGCTTGTTAACTAAACGAGCCGAACTCGAGTCAAACCATGTTCAGCTCGAAAGCTCGCAAACAAGCTCATTTAACATTTTGGCATAAGAAAAGATTAGAATTCATGGATTATATGTATTGAAATTGAAATAAATATTGTGTTTTATTTTGCTAGACTTTGCTACAGGTTTAAATGTAATTTTGTGCCCAGTTCAGGTCAATCTTGAGTTATTATGAACATTTTATGAGCTTAACTCGATTTTGGGCTCGTTAACCTTATTTAACGAGCCGAGCTCGAACCGAGCTCGAGCTTTCATTTTCATAAACGAGTCGAGCTCGAACTTGCATATTAAAGCTCGTAATGAACACAAGCCGAGCTCGAGCTTGGAAATATATTAACGAGCTGAGCCCGAACTATGACAAAACTCGGCTTGACTCGGCTCATTAATAGCCCTAACGGTAAGGCATCAAAATTGCTACTATGCTTTTAATAGTATTTTTCTAGTGGTATTTTTCACGTAAGAAATTGAGAGAAGAAAAGTATTCTAAAATTTAATTTCACAAAATACCAAATATGCCCCTCAATAATCTCCACCGTGAGATTTATATAAAATTAATAAACAGTGCCTATAATTGTTAGCATTTTTTAAGGAATAATGGTTAGTACTTAGTAAGGGGTTCTAGCACTCCCGTGCAATACCGCTGTTATTTTCAGAACCGGACGCTGATCCAGAAAAGTTATTGATTTAGAGTTTAGTGGTTAAATGTTATAAAACTGTTAGTGAACTATTGATAGAACTGTTCATAATATGTAACATACAAGACTTGTATAATACACTAATTTAAGAATGAAGTTATCAGGGTTTACTTGCGGAAAGGAAACGGAAAGTAGGACTTTTCTCTGAAATGAACGGCGATCTGCTTTCTCCGGCGACGGCTCTCAGCCCCTCCGACAGACCGCCAGACCCACCCCGACTGTCTTCCGTGCACACGCACACGGCCACCACACCGACTTTAGTGCCTGATAAGATTGGATCTGATGATTCGATGGCAGTAGATACTCCGGCGACAGAGGCCCCAGAGATAGAGAAATCAACACAGGGAGTGTCTTCCTATGCGAACGCAGTCCGGGGAGCAAATATGGCTTCCCCCAAGGCGGTGATCCCATGGACCCCAATAGGCGAAAACGACCTTGTTGCCGGATCTTACAACGGCGAACCTGAACTGAAGGTCTCAGCTGGCCTCAAATCCAAACTGAGCGCCCCTTGGCAGAGATCGCTGGTCGTTCGCACGCTAGGCCTGCGGATTTCCTACACGACCTTCTGTCACAAACTTCGAGCACAATGGCGACCGACTGGAACGATGGAGATCATGGTTCTTGGGCAGGAATGTTTTATTGTTAGGCTCGACAACGACGCAGACTACTTCCGAGCTCTGACGGAAGGACCTTGGATGATTTTTGACCACTACCTGCTGACTCAACAATGGACGCCGGAGTTTCGGCTGTCCAATAAGCTGCCAAGCACCATGATTGTTTGGGTACAGCTCCCAGCGTTCCCAATCCATTTTTACCACAGAGAGGTGCTGTTCTCGATCGGGAATTTGATCGGGCGGACTATAAAACTAGACTATCATACGCAGCACCAACAGAGAGCAAGATTTGCCCGAATCGCTGTGGAAGTGGACCTCTCCAAACCATTGGCGACGCGTATCCGGCTCGATGGGAAATGGCAATATTTGGAGTATGAAAACCTACCGATCCTCTGTTTCGAATGCGGGAAGGTAGGGCACACTAAAGAAGTTTGTCCATCATCAGTCCAATCGGCGCCGGCTCTGTGTCTGGAGGCACCTGGTAACTCGCCGGCGGTGATGTCAGCGGCGACTCAAGCATCGGAAGAGGAAAAGGAAGGTTTTGGTCCATGGATGCAGGTGACGAGGAAATCACGGCGGGGGAGTAGGGATTCAACAAAAGGAAACTCGATCAACAGAAAAGGGGAAGGAGATATTCAGGGGAAAGGTGGAAAAGGAAAGGCTGGTATCAAGGACACCCCCGTAGCAGAATCTCGGCCGCCGAGAACCACGTCATCTGGAAATCTTGAGCTATCGGCGGGAGGAAAAGCAGGGATGGATCGCAGCACCAACCCTAAGCATAAAGGAAAGGCTGTCGTTGAAAGCCTTCTGGGCGGAGAAAGAGGTAAGGGGGTTCTGGGCCCGGTTCCAAAGCCTGTAGGGCCCAGCCCAGGGAAATCCGCTGGAGGAATCTCTATGCCGCGGGCCCAAGGCAAAGGCCCCTCTTCTTCAGGGACGAAACAAGACCCTCCCCCGGCCCTCTTTGTAGCCCCCCTCACTGATGGGCTGGAAGCCCAAAATTCCCCCTCCCTGACTTCAGTACCCAGCAACAATGGAACCAAAATTCAGATAGTTAATCTCCCCCAATCTGATCCGAGCGAAGACCCCCCGACCGACAAAAACTCTCTCTCGGCTGCCGCGCGGACCAAAAACCAGAAGAAGCACCTCAAAAAACATAGCTCCCCAGCCAAAACCCACCGCCCTGTTACCTCTAAAGCTCTCCAGATTTGGACTCCGATCAAGGGAAAGAAGAACAAGGCTCGCACCAAAATTGCGACCCTTACCCTCCAAGACATTGAAGCCTGGACGGAAGCAGCGGGGCGAAAACAAGGGGAGGAAATGGTCGGGATAGCGGACTGTGACACCGCCGGCGATAGCCTCGGGAACGCGGCGGCCTCCACCAGCGAATGATTGGCGCCGCCGATCACCTTCTTTTCTCTTTCCTTCTCCTTTCTATTTTTGATTATTATGTCTATGTCGTCAACTCAAAGTTTCAAATGTATGTCTTGGAATATTGGTGGAGCTGGGAGCGCCTCCTCTGCCAGAGCGCTCAAGTTCCTAGTCATGAATTACAAACCTGACTTCCTTTTTATCTTGGAACCGCAGATAAGTGGCGATTCAGCAGATAAGGTGTGCGGGAGGCTGGGGTTCTCCAATGTTATGCGTGTTGAAGCCGAGGGGAGGAAGGGAGGCATATGGCTTTGCTGGAATGCCTCTGATTTTCAGCTCCAAGTGCTCTCCGCCTGCTCCCAGCACCTTTCTGTGGTGGTCACTGCTCGTTCAGCTCAGAAATGGCTCCTCACAGCCATCTACGCTAGTCCGCGGCCCTCCCAACAGCGTTCTCTTTGGCAAACTCTTCTCCACACCAGCCTTACCAATGATCTTCCTTGGCTGCTGTCTGGAGACTTTAATGCCATTAGAACGCCAGAGGAGAGAATGGGCACTCCCTCAGATGCCACTTTTCGCAGATGTAAAACCTTCAATGACAGGATTAACCTAACTGAGCTTATTGATTTGGGTTTTACAGGGCCTCGCTTTACCTGGACTAGGGGAGACAATATCAACTCGGTCAAAGCGAGTCGGATTGATAGAAGCCTCTGCAATGCCCTGTGGAATGCCACCTTCCCAAACACTACAGTCAAGCACCTGCCTCGCCTACAGTCGGACCATCATCCTATCCTTACCTCGACTGGAATTCAGGGAGTTCAATCTAATCTGATTCGTCCTTTCCGTTTTGAGGCCGCCTGGCTTACTAACCAGGACTTTGATAATCAGGTGGAAGGTGCTTGGAATCTTCAAGCTCCCCTTCCTGCTGCTCTGGCAGAGCTCGCTACTAGCCTCAATCACTGGAACATCTCAGTCTTTGGCAACATTCTCCGCAAGAAAAGACGCCTTCTAGCTCGCATTCAGGGCATTCAGGAAAGGGTGGCTAGCAGCTTCTCTTCCGGCCTTTACAAACTTCAAGCCAAGCTAGAGAAGGAACTTGAGGAGGTGCTCGAGCAGGAGGAGCTGCTGTGGTTCCAAAGATCGAGAGAGAAGTGGGTCCAACAGGGGGAACGCAACACTGGCTATTTTCATCAACAAGCCATCATTCGCAGACGCAGGAACAAAATTGACAGTCTCAGAAACACCAATGGCGAGTGGGTAAGCGATCCCCAGGAGTTAGCTATGTTGATTTTTGACTTCTTTGCTTCCTTGTATCTCCAGGATATCGCTGATTACGAGGACTTGATGCCAAAGTCAGCCTTCCCGCGACTCAATCATGAGGAGTTGGCAGCGCTTCTGCGACCTTTTAGGGGGGAGGACATCCACCAAGCTGTTCATGGGATGAAGCCTTTTCAAGCCCCGGGCCCCGATGGATTTCATGCTGCTTTCTATCAGAGATCCTGGAGGGTGGTGGGGAAAGCCCTCATTGACATGGCTTTGGAGTTTTTTACTACAGGGAGTCTCCCGGAGGGTGTCACCGACTCTACTGTGGTTCTCATCCCCAAAGTCGAGCATCCAGAGATGGCCTCACAGCTCCGTCCGATCTCTCTCAATAATGTGTGTCTCAAAGCCATCACGAAGGCGATCACCAATCGGCTGAAGCCTATCATGAGAAAGTTGGTCTCCCCGCGGCAGAGCAGTTTCATTCCAGGGAGACAAACTACAGACAACATTATTGTTTTGCAGGAGGTTTTGCACACCCTCAGGAAGAAGAAAGGGAAGAAGGGGGGAATAGTGATGAAGATTGATCTGGAGAAAGCCTACGACCGGCTTCGTTGGGACTTCCTGAGAGACACTCTCAAGGAAATCGGCCTTCCTAGTTCCTGGATTAGCTGCATTATGTACTGTGTGGAAAACAACAAGATGAGATTGCTGTGGAACGGAGACCTCTCTCAAACCATCACCCCGACTAGGGGGGTCAGACAGGGAGATCCCCTCTCACCCTATCTCTTTGTGTTGTGTATGGAGAGACTTTCCCACAGAATTGACCGGGCCATCCAGGAGAAGCAATGGAAACCCCTAAGACTTTCTCCGGGTGGCCCAACCCTTTCTCACCTTTTTTTTGCAGATGATCTAGTGTTGTTTGCGGAATCAGACGCTTCTCAGATAAGGATCATAAAGCAATGCCTTGATGAGTTCTGCAGCAGCTCGGGTCAAAGAGTGAACTACCACAAGTCCGCCATGTTTGTCTCCGCCAACATCCCTAGGCGCAGAGCTAGGGCGCTCAGTGAGCGGATGGAGATCCCTCTCACGGTGGACCTGGGGAGATATCTGGGGGTAATGGCCATCCATGGACGTGTCAAGCGGGGCCGATACCAGGACCTTATCATCAAGATCCAGAGAAAACTAGCTCCGTGGAAAGCTAAGCACCTTTCCATAGCAGCTCGTATCACTCTTGTTAAAGCAGTTACTTCCTCTATTCCCATTTACCCCATGCAGGTGGAGCTTCTTCCAAAGACTGTTTGCAAGACTCTTGACCAAATCAATCGGGGGTTCTTGTGGGGGGAATCGGAAGGGAAGAAGAAACTTCACCTCGTTGGTTGGGCCCAGTTGATTCAACCGAAGGACAAGGGAGGGCTCGGAATTCGCCCAGCCAGGGAGGTCAACTTGGCCATGCTGGCTAAATGCGGATGGCGGTTGATGACTGAAAAGCAGACTCTTTGGGCTCAGCTAATGAGGAGCAAGTACGGGAAAGATAGGGCCAACTTGGATCTCATCAAACCAAAAAAGGGAAGTTCCTTTACCTGGAACAGTATCTCCAAAACTGAAAGCTTGCTGAGAAGCGGCTGTGCTTGGAATATTCATAAGGGAACGCTAACCCGCTTCTGGTCTGATGTTTGGATTGAGCAGGTACCTTTAGAGGAGCTAGCCACTGGGCCGATTCCTGAGGAGGATAGGAATGCCAGGATCTCAGCTTTCGTGGACGAGGAGGGGACTTGGCGTACGGAGAAATTCAGCAACATTCTTCCCGCGGAAATTATTCACCGCATCACAGCGGTGGCAGTGGACCCGATGGCTCCAAATGACGACACTCTTTTTTGGCACCCTACCTCCGATGGACGGTTCTCAACAAAGAGCGCTTTCCACCTCCTCCAGGTGCAGACTGACAGTGAGCAGAGCAGAACCTGGAAAGAAATTTGGAAGCTAGAAGTCCCGGAACGAGTCCGCTGCTTCATGTGGCTAGTTGCCCACAACAGGATTAGCTCAAATGAGCAGCGAGCGAAGCGGCATATTTCAGCGACGTCTGGCTGTTTCAGGTGCGAGAATCAGGTGGAGTCTACCTTGCATATCCTCAGAGATTGTCCCCCAGCTGCTTTCGTCTGGATGCGCACGGTACCTGCAGATCAACATCAAGCCTTCTTCAGCATGGATTTGGACCTCTGGCTCGCCACCAACCTGCAGAAGACCGATAGGTATGTGGAGGATACACCTTGGAATGCCTTTTTCAGTATTGCCATCTGGAACCTTTGGAAAAACAGGAACGAAGGCGCTTTCAGAGGAATCGAGAAGACTCTTTCACCTCCATCCCTCGTCCAAGCTATTAGGATCAAAGCAAGCATTTGGTACAAGGCGTGGACGGCTCCGAGGGACAGCTTGGGACGCAGAAGTGCGCCGACTCAACGGGTGACCAAGGATATCAGCTGGATCCCTCCCCCTCTGGGATGGTGCAAGCTTAATGTGGATGGGGCCGCCAATGGTATTCACGGACCTGCGGGAGCTGGTGGTATCTTGAGAGATCACCAGGGGAGATGGAAGCGTGGTTTCATTGTTAATATGGGGACCTGCTCGGCGATTCAAGCGGAGCTCTGGGGAATTTTCCATGGGCTCGGTTTGGCTTGGCAGAATGGTAGCAGAACCTTGATTGTTGAGACTGATTCCCAACTTGCTCTCCAACTCATCGAGAAGAGGAAGGACACTGTTCACCCGCTTGCAGCACTTTTGACGGCAATCAGACGAAGACTAGCCCAAGACTGGGTGGTGCGTCTTTGCCATACTTACCGGGAGGGGAATAGAGTCGCGGACTGGCTCTCGAAGCACAGTCTCGTCTATCCCTATGGGAAGTATGAATTAGACACACCCCCGGAAGCTCTTCAGGCCATTATTGGAGATGATATGAGAGGGCAATCTTTCCCTAGGAATGTGGTGTTGGAAACTCCAGAGACCCATACCTTGCTGTAATCTAGGCACTCCCCCTCCCCCCTTGTAACCCCTTCTTTTTCTTCGGCCTTGTGCCTCCCCTGCTGCAAAAAAAAAAAAGAATGAAGTTATCATTGACCATAAACACTTTCAAATTCATGTCATCACCAAAATATCTAACAAATCATTCAAACAATCTCACAAAAGTAATTTTATTTTTTTAATTCAAGTTAAAAGTTATGGTGCCATTCAGTAGTAAACCGTATAAAGTTGACAACAAGGTTGGAAAATTGATTAGAGGAAGCAAAAATAAAATTTATGATTCTAGTTTGATGGTCTTAGTTTACGTTAAAGTAATTTTCTAAAAAAATTTGTGATTAAAATAGTGGACCAGTTAAATTGTGGTAGTTTCATCTGGTTTTATGTTGAACGATGAAAAACCGTTTGGTACACAATAACCATCCAACCAATGGTCCAGACTGCTATCGTAATTGGTTTGGCGATTCTACTAGTCCGGTCGTTGATTTGGTTCGGTTCTTATAACAATGAGCAATACCATCAAGCACTTGTATAATTTAGGAGCTTATAGTCGGTTCAACCGGAAACCGGGACTTAGCCAAAAACGCTGCGTCCCAGCCAGCGGCCCTAACCCTACCCTTCGACTTCAGTTTTATACTTTCGTTCCTCCTCCGTTACTCAGCCAGATAGACGACCAGCGAACTGAGAAGAGTGGTTTCGTCGACCAGACGAAAGAGAGAGAGACGCCACCACTGAGATAGAGGAGCCACCGCCGTCGGATTGTCGAAGCCCACCGGCCACCGCCGTTTCGTCGGGCATCGCGGTTTCTGGCGGCTCGACGAGAACAGGCCAGCCGCGAATATTTTCCTCGCCCGCTCATCTTCAAACTGCTAAACTCTACGATTAAAAAAAAAAAAAGAGTCGAAAACCTTTCCGCCCAAAATAAAAACCGGGAACTGGGCTTTCGGGGTTTAGGGTTTATCGAGTGCTGAAGCCTGAAATCCACTAGATAACCACCAACTACAGTTTCGCAAACCACCGCGGGATCGGCTTCCTACTGAAACGGAAACCGACTGAGCTGAAGAACCATCGTGAGAGTTAGATGGACCTCGACGACTTCGACGACGTGGACGCGCCGAAGCAGGCTCCCGCGCGAGCTGCCAAGTTCTTGCCGAAATCCTCCAGGTTCAAACCGCAACCGAAGGGGAAAACGGCGGCGCAGTCTTCATCGAAGCCGGAGGACTCTGTCGCCAAAACTGAGCCCCAAGAACCGCTACCATCGGCGCTACCATCGGCTCCGGCAAGTAAAGAAGAGGATGAAGACATTAAACCTAAATTGGATGCGGCGGCCAAGGCGGAAGCGGAGGCATGGCTGGAGATGGAAGTTGATGCTGCAAAGCGAGAGGCGGAAGACGGGAATGATCACATGGATGTTGATGGAGGGGAGGAAGGAAAAGAAGATGATGATGTGATTGTTCGTGAGATCGACGTATTTGTGACTCCCTCAGTTGACACTGACACACAGGTGAGGAACCTTTTCTGCGAGATGGCTCTTTGTAACAAATATCATACATACATGAATGCTTCTTAATATACTATTATCAATCAATTTGGCTTCAGTTGTATGTTCTACAATATCCTTTGAGGCCACGGTGGAGGCCGTATGAATTGGATGATCGTTGTAGAGAGGTGATTTCCCCTCTCCTTGTACATTCCATTTGGATTCTTACTGTTTGGATTTGTGATGGAGGCTTCTGACTCTGGTCACATTTGCATCTGTTGTTAGGTTAGAGTGAAACCTTCCACATCAGAAGTCGAGGTTGATTTATCCATTGATGATTCTATGAATTGGGATGCCGATTATGCAAGAGCATTAGAGATGACTAAGCGGGTTAGTTTCTGTGTACCCATTACCTAGCACGCGCCACTGCATTTGCAATTTTTTCTTCCAATATGACTCATAAAAAGATTGGTTCATTCGTCTTTGAGTTATTTTTTATACCCTGTCATTTTTCTAACCTGCTGTATGGTTTGATCTTGCTTCTTAGACTTTGTCATCTGTGTGGGCACCTCCTACTGCACGTGCTGGCTATGCTGTTGGAGTTCTTATTGGTAACAAGGTGCGCGTTCATCTGCTGCCTTTGCTTTTACTGATAGTGGCGTTTTAATTTTAGCAATGTATCCGGTGCTATTGTATTTTTGACTCTTCTCCATATGAAGTTGTATAATTGTATTTATCCGATGCACAAAATTCTACTTCTGACTATGGTTTATATTTTCGAATAAACATGCTTCCTTTTCTCAGTTCATAAGCTTATTTGAAGTTGGTTTCACCTGGATCCTCATCTGCTAATGTCATTGAATATTTCCTAGCTACACGATTTGAGATCTGCAAATTTCTTTCTTCTGAAGTTAAGGAACTTGTAGCCTTTTCTGTGTCTAATAACAACTAAACCGTGGGAAGATATTGTTGATAATTGGAGTTGTAGAGAAATGATGCTGCTTGATTCATTCTTAATTTTCTGTCTTTGTATTTTTTTCATCATCCAGCTACATCTGAATCCTGTTAAGGCAGTGGTGCAGCTTCGACCTTCTCTGAAGCACGTTGAGTCCAAAGACGCTGGTATTGCTATTAAACAAGAAGAATCCAGTCAGACAAAACGTGCTGGTCCATCAAAAAAGCAGGTTTGACTGAAATCTGAGTTGGGCTACCAAAATTAGATTTGTTTATTTGATTATACTAGTGCCTGAACTGTTATTTTACCTCTTACAAATACTACCTTGTTGAAGTGAACTTTTTGATGCATAATGGTAATAGTGTGATGTTTTTTTTATAGTATGTAGACCTATAATCATAAGTCATGCATATAAAGGGCATCTGTAAATTGTGTATTGAGAGCTGATTAGCTGTTATGTTTGCTTATGCGCCTTATATCAGTACCAACTTTTGTTTTCACTTGCTGGCAGATCACAAAGACAGAGACTGTAAATGGGCAAGTTTCGGATGCTGGAGAGGTAACTTGTTCACCATGTTAACTCTTTCCGCTTGCCTTCCTTTTAGCATAATTTAAGTGTATATTTTTATTTAGATAACAAGTTGCTAAATCATACTCTGCAATTTCATTAATTATTTGTCTCATTCCAGACCTGGGTTCCACTTAAGTATCATGACTCCAAAAGTGACATGTCTTCCACATATATGGAGAAAATGGTGACACAAGAGCATTCTCCCATAGATTTCACAATGAGTTCGTATGTTCCATCTATTATAGCTCTGTGATTCAACTAGCCTTTTGAAAACTGCAGTTTGATCTTTGTCATTTAAACTTTGAAGTTGATTTTCGTTGTTTCGTGGTTGAAGGTATGACTATATGAGTTCAATGTGTCCTGGAGCATCCAACAGCGCTGATAAGCCTAAAGGTCCTTCCAGAAGGTGCCTTGACCCCCATTTCTTTGATTTGCCTCTTATCAATTCGTGCTTGCACAAGAACAATAGGTCTAGAAGAGCACAGCATACTGAATTGCGTACTTCACTTCTCTCAAAATTCAGATGAGTTCAGCATTTGGTAGTTGTGATTAGACAGACCATTCCGGTCGCATGTATACTGAATGTACTGATATAATAGAACAATGCATGTGATCATTCTGTCAAACTTGTCGGTATTGTAAATCCTAATTAGTATCAGTCTTTCTCTATGTGCTTGTATTTAGAAACAAAGTTACCTATCCTGTGTTTTTGCTTCAGGTTTTTGCTTTCGTTGCCGCTTGAAGAGCGCATACAGAAATTGCTCATGGAGGTTTGTTTTGTTACTTTTTTGCCCAACTTGTTCAAACCCATGGTGTGGGGATGTCATCATTCCGACCCTACTTGACCACTGGGTCAACTCCTTGGGGGGGTTTTGCGTGCTTCTATTTTTTTTCAAAATATAGAGCTTTGATTTACAGGGACCCGCACTTCAGAAGTTTGGCGCTATTAAGCACTTTGCTCCAGAAAGCTCGAGTGAAGACCTCTTAACAATGCTAGAGGAGCATGGGCAACTAGTGCAGGGACTTTGGACTGCAAAAACATCTTTGTTGGTCCCTCCAAACGATAGACCTAAACATCTGGCTAGGGATTATGTTCTTCTTAAATTTAATGAAGGTCTAGAGATCAGCTCTTCCATAATAAGAGTCCATCCAAAGTTTCAAGAAGATATGAAACTCTTCCTGAATACATTTGGTGTTGAAAGACCCTCTTTGGGGGATTGGAAGTTCAAGGAGCAAACAGACTGGTCATTTATAAAACAGTTCCCTCGTGTTGTTGAAAAGTACAAGAAGTCTTATGAAAGTGCATGGAAAAACATCAGTGAAATACTTAGTAAAGTTGGCAGGGTGGGTTCTAGCAACAAGAGCACAGCAAGGGGAAATGTGCCAAGTAATCCTGCAAAAAAATTGGGTTCTGATAAAAGCACAGCAACAAGAACAGCTGCTTCAATGCCTACAAAGGGAAGCATAACTCGAGAAACTCAAGAAGTTCTGAAAAAGGTCTTACCAAAGATTTTCCAGACTCACAAGGTTTGCAGGTAATGTATTGATCACTTTTGACATTTTGAATCTAGTTGGATCTTTTTGGTGGTTCAACTTGAAGCTCTGTCCACTTTGACTCATTATCTTCTAGAACTGAACAGCTTTCTGGACATATGAGGTTGAAACAAGGAAACTGGAATTCTCTCAAACCATTATGGCTTGGGGGGTTTTAACTTTTTAGTTTAGCCGTGTGTTCAAAGAGTTGGTGTCAGTTGAATAGTTTATTCTCTTTCCCAAGCATTATGAAGTTTTCTTTTTTATTTTGTAGTTACCAATTCATTTGCCAAAATTTGAGAGACCAGGCTGTCCAGACGGCTACTCTTCCAAAGGCTGACCCGAGAGTAGCCAAGGCCGCAGCATCTGCTGCTGATGCTCCCCAAGAAGAGTTTGAAGAAGTGATAAATGAATATGCGACCAAAATTCATGGTTTTTATGTCTTGAAATCATCGCCTGACCACCCAGAATTTGACCCATTGAGGTTCAATCTTCTTTCCTTTCCCTTCGGCAAATTGGATTTCATTTGTAGCTTTTGTAACGATGCTTATTATTCTTCTTAGCACTAACTCTGTCTTTGCAGGAGAGTTGTCATGGATCTTCTCATGGCTAGAGGGCCTAATGCAAAGCTTAAGAAGGCCGAAATCATGGAGGCAGCTCAGCTCGCACTCAAAAGAACAGTCCCTAACAATGAGTACCAGAAGGTCAGTAGTTGGATTCTGTTAAAACACACATATCTGGCCTATAGAAGTGAATTCTGTCTGAGAAAATGTCTGTCTTTATTAGAAATGGGGTATTACCAGGGGGCATTGAAAACGTGTAGAAGCTGTTAGAAGGCTTCTTCGAACTTGAGCTAGGTTCTTGATACGTTTATTTGTGTCAAGGAGAGTTATTAGTAGTGAGATGGATTCAGTTTCAATTCCATACACCTCTCAAGTCCTGACATGCAATGTGGCTCAAATTTGCAGGTAGTTACAGAACTTTGTGAATCAAAAGGTTCTGCTTGGATGTTGAAAAGTGGAGACGGGAAGCCATCATGACGATCGTAGAATCTGGACTCGGTGTATTTTTCTAGTGCACCTAGGAGAGAACCCACTGAATCTAATTTACAATGTTGGACCTTGATGCCCTTTTCTCGGTACGTATATAGATATATTTGCTTCCAAAAGAAGTTAGAAACTTTGGGTACTTGGTTATGCGCAATCTGAATCGAAATGTCAATATTATGGTATCAATTGAAGATCACTGTAAGAGATGTTCTTGCTGGTTGTGTTTGTCTAAAGATCGATCTCGATCAAATATACAGAGCTCCATAAGGCACAAGTAACTGACCGGATGATGAATGGAGGAAGAACGAAAGTAGTAATAAGCTCGTTGGTACTACAGTATAATTGTATAAAGATATGCAGAAGGTGATTGAAAAGGTAGGCCAGCTTCTGGGATAGACTAGAATTAGAAACAGTTACTGGTTAGCTAGAAAACCTGAATTTATCTCTAGGTTTCTTAAATCTTTGCCTCGGAAAGATAAACTAAGTAACAGTTAACAAAACCAAGTTAAACTTGTATATACAGATTAAGCTGAACAATCTAAGAGGCAGTCAGCACTTGGATGGATCTCAGTCTTGCATTCATCTTCTTCTCCTGCTAACTGCTACTGACACCGGACAGTACGGATCACGACCCGCCTCTGGTGTTATCTTATTCTTACCACAATTCCAGAATCAAGGTCTTACCTGGCTCAAACAATTATGTACCAATACCTGAACTCCCATTTAAGCCATAGCTAGATCATGTACAGATTGGTGGTCGTAGTAGTAATAGTAACGTGGAGTAGTTACCTATTCGTGCCAGCCGATCGACCCATTTGGGGATGCAAACACTCTTTGCTAAGATGATTGCTCTTGTGCAGAATCCAGTCATAGGCCTTCCCATAGAAGCTCTCTGCAGCTACTTGCCTCCCTCACCTGCTTAGGTTCCAATGTCGTCGTCCCTACGAATATCAACCTCATGAACTTGTACCTGAGATGCTGCCTTGGCTCGACTTCGAACACCCTACTTGTTGGCTTGTCGTGCTTCCCATCGGCATACTCTACCCCTTGCACTGCACATCAACACGTACATTAGCATTTACTACAATCACAAGAACACATGGTAGAGTTATCTTTGACAAGAAATTTTTAAGACTTTGATTTTAGTTTCTGTACCTTCAACGCCCGAGTGAAAGGCACCTAGACCAGCCCAGTAGACGTAACCATTAATCGTCGGTGCCAAGTCGTACACATTCAGATACACTGGGGCTGCTTCCCTGGCAGCTTGATCATTCTTCCTGTCTCTCCTATGTTTAGGGGGGAAACCAACAAATTCACTTCTCAGTTCAGTGATTGCTGCCTTCTTCGGCACGTTATCAAGATTCATCGTCACGTTTGGGTTAGGAAATTCATCAGCTTCTTTCTGCTTCAGTGCCTCCTCATTAGCTATTGTTGTGGTCACCTGGTCTTCTTTTGCAGTAGCCTTCTGGTTCAGATCTTCCATTAATGCTTGTTTCTTATCCGGTGGTGAAGCTATGATTTAGAAAGAACAGAGATTTAAGTAAGAAATTACAATAGGTTCTAACATTGTAGCAAGATCTAGGATGAAGAAATTACAGCAGGTTCTAAGATTGTAGCTGAATCTTTGATGAAAAGGGCTTTATCCAGCCACTTTTCCTTGTTCTCTCTCCACATATGATTACAACTTCAAACAAAATTCAACACAAATACTAAGGATGAGGGGGAAAAAACAATAAGAAAAGAATATTTATCTGATCACCACTCTCATAAGTCATAACCCACTTATTAAGAAAAGCTTCTAAACAATAATACTGCATTTTACAAATCTACACATTTCACAATCTACACATTTCAATAACTAGGTTTGCACATATTAGTAATCTGTTTGATCTTCAAAATTCATTATAATTTTGTAACACATTCTTCAACAATAATTTGTGGTTCTCCTATATCTATAAAATACTTCTCAAAATTACCTCCCCATCATCTTTCCAAATCTCTCCGTAATTCTACATTTCCCCCTCACACCGTACTCTCCACCAGATCTTAGGATGACAATTTGAACCCACCCTGCCGTTTATTACCCGACCTCACCCGTGATAGAGCGGGTATTACCCGATCTGCAATAGCGTAGGCTAGGGCATGGGTATTTATTTTCGACTTGTCATACTTTGCCCCACTCCGTTGTTGACCCATTATATCGCGATTTCTTATAGCATCTATTCATATTTCTCATATTTTTTATTTTTTTCAACTAGTTAGACTTGATCTTTCAATTATATAAGCCAAATTGTTTCTTTTTCCAATTCATCAATCCAAATAAAGGTGGAAATTTGGTTATGTTCCAAGCTGTACCTACATATGGCTAAATAGTAAATACCCGATCTTTTGTCCTGTCTTCCTCTTATGCACAACGCACGTTCACGACCTAGCTAGAACAAAACTTCCCAATTTAGAGTTGCTCTTCGTCCGACTCGCAGTTTCTCAGCTTCGCATACATCGTCCGTCCTTTCTCCTTGTTGCAGAATAAACTGCGGGTCAAAGAACCTGCCTGGGGTTTGATTGATTTAAGCATTGAAGCTCGAAGAAAGCATCTCCGGAGTATGAGCGACTACGGCAGCGGAGGCAGGCTCGAACGTAATGGTGCGGATCATGAAAAGGACGACGAATTCAGTGGCGGTGGTGGCACTGAGAATCATAGCGATTCCAAATCCCAGGTCTTTGATTCTACCTTAGACGCCCTAGTTACATGTTGGCTTTTGATTTACGAGGGAGGGGTCAAGTTGCTTGCTTTCCTTAGGCTTTAGGAAGTCTTACATTTGGGGGACCGTCAGCTCGTTCTGGTTTTAGGGTTTTAAATAATTGGATTAGTTTGCTTGAATTTGTAGTGTGTTTAACCAATTTGGTCATTAAATTGCTCGAATCAGTCAAGTTGCTGTATTCTCACCGATGTGACTTGTTGCTTGCAGCGTGACCATGAGAGAGATTCTGTGAGAAGTAGGGATAGAGATAGAGAAAGGGTGCGTGACAAAGGGAGGGATAGGGACAGGGACAGAGATCGTGGCAGGGAGAGGGATAAGGATAGGGAAAGGGAGAAAGAGAGAGATATTGATCGACACCATAGAGGAGGAGGGCGTGACAGGAATCGTCATAGAGATGGCAATGACAGGAGAGAAAGAGGCAGAGATAGAGACGAGGATGATAATCACCGAAGCAGAGACTATGATCGGTATGGTTCTTCCACACTAATTGAGTTAGTTTTTTCATCTTTGCTGCCATAATGGCAGTCAGTTGATGTCTTTGGTGGTCTAAATGTTTTACAGGCGAAGAGAAAATGATAGAGAGCGTGAAGATAGGCCCAGGCTTCGTTCGAAGTCTCCTTCAAGGGGTAGATCAAGACACAGATCAAAATCTCGTTCTCGGTCTCGCTCCAGTTCAGGATCACGCTCTAAGAGGTACATACAAGCTATGATAACTAGTAATAGCGTTCTTTTGGGTAAATTATATAGGGTAGTTTCTCTGCTAACTTCTATTGAAACTTATTATAGCAAAAGGGTGAGCGGCTTTGATATGGCTCCTCCTACATCTGCAATGGCTGCTGCTGTTGCTGCTGTCAACGCTGCTACTACAGGTACCCGGACAACTATATCACTTAACTGCTATCCTTATTGGTTCTTTAAGTATGATAAGTAGTGGGTACCTTGCATTATTGAATTTTGTTAAGACACAAGTCCCAACTTCGTTTCTCAAATGGAAAAATTATAACTTGAAACTAGTGCTTACATAATATCGGTCCTATTGGTTTGTGTTCTATTTTATCTTGCACACTGCAAACTAATTCTGGCACTGAGAGAGCTTTTGGTTTTGTTGTGTTTTTGGTGTTTGTTTGTTGTTTCTGTGTCTTTGTCTTTGTTGTGAGAAGGAACTGTTGGGCTGGTTGCCCCACTGTGCTGACAATGGCCCATGAGCTGACACCCCATAGCTTATATGTACAAAGAGAAATCAGGGCATCAGTTTGATGGTTCTTGTTCGTCTCCCACCGGCAAACTATTGCATGTCTTGGTAGTTTTGTGAATATTTTCTCTGTAACATGAACCTTTAATCTACTTTCCCCGTCCTTTTCTTTACCTTTTCCCCAACAGGTTAGTCTGCATTTACAAAAAGGATTGTCATAAGGCAACTTTGTCATTTAATTAATTATTATAGTTAAAATTCATGTACAAAATCTTCTAATTCTCAGCTCATTACCTTTGCAGGCCAAATTCCTGGGTCCGCTCCTCCCATCCCAGGAATGTTTCCAAACTTGTTTCCGACCCCCAATGGACAGGTATAGCTTACTTTTTATTATAAGATACTGATTATGTCTTTCTGTGGTTTGTTCTAATTCCATGTTGCGTATTTACACACTTTACCAGTTTGGTTCTCTCCCAGTAATGCCGATTCAAGCAATGACTCAGCAGGTCTGTTTGTTTAAGATGCTTAATTTCATTTCACTGTATATCAAGCTTCGGCGTTGGTTTAATATTCCTAGTTCCCCCCTGTTCATCTATTGTCTTCCATGCTTCCAGGCTACTAGGCATGCTCGACGGGTCTATGTTGGAGGGCTTCCACCATCGGCCAATGAACAGGTAGCTATTCTCGTTCAGTTTCTTTCTAGTAGATCTACATACTAGTTCCACTCTGAAATGCTCTATCATACTGCAGACTGTAGCTACCTATTTCAGTCAGGTCATGGCGGCCATTGGAGGAAATACTGCTGGCCCTGGTATGTTGTTTATTTTCGGTGAAAACATTGAATCTGCCCTTGCTTTTCCTGTCCCTGAACCTATTTGATTGTTTTACAAGGGGATGCTGTCGTAAATGTCTATATAAACCACGAAAAGAAGTTTGCATTCGTGGAGATGAGATCTGTTGAGGAGGCCAGTAATGCCATGGCTCTAGATGGAATTATATTTGAGGTAAAAATCTACTTCTTTTGAATCTTTGTCTCTGAGTTGTAAAGCATGGTGTTGATATGGCCATCTACTGATGTGTTCAGATCTTTCTTGGAACTTAAAATAATTTCAGGGTGCACCTGTCAAGGTACGTCGGCCTAGTGACTATAACCCATCCCTGGCTGCAGCTCTTGGTCCTAGCCAACCCAGCGCTAACCTTAACCTTGCTGCGGTGGGATTAAATCCCGGCTCTTCAGGTGGGCTTGAAGGTCCAGATCGCGTATTTGTGGGTGGGCTTCCCTATTACTTCACAGAACCACAAATCAGGGAATTGTTGGAGTCTTTTGGGGCTCTTAGAGGTTTTGATCTAGTGAGAGACAGAGAAACAGGAAACTCAAAAGGCTATGCTTTTTGTGTGTATCAAGATGTTGCTGTTACTGATGTAGCCTGTGCTGCTTTGAATGGAATTAAAATGGGTGATAAGACTCTCACTGTTAGGCGTGCCAACCAAGGCAGTTCCCAACCTAGACCCGAACAAGAAAGTGTACTGCTACATGCCCAGCAGCAGATTGCTATACAGGTAATCATGCTCTGAATTTTTATTCTCGTTGCATATCTGTATACTTAGGTCTAGTTTTACTGATGTTGGCTGTGTTCTTGCAGAGGCTTATGTTACAACCTCCGGCGACTAAAGTTGTATGCCTAACTCAAGTAGTTACTGTGGATGAGCTCAGAGATGATGATGAGTATGAAGAGATAATGGAGGACATGAGAACAGAATCCAGTAAATTTGGTATAATCTCTTAACCCCATCATTCCCCTGAGTTAATGAAAATCTAAAAGAGCTTCTATCAATCATCTTGCTAAGGGATTTGTTTTCTTTTTCATCTTGTGGTTTGTATGTCTGTTTTCCAGCATCTTATAGTCCTACGGTCTGCTATAGAGAATCAGCCCTAAGATACAGCGACAGAAGGCTGCTTAATCTCCTGTTAATATATATGCGACGTACTCTCGATATATTTGTGGTTTGGTTTGGCATATTTTCATGTTCTTATCGCAGGTACATTGGTGAGCGTCGTCATCCCCCGCCCACAACTGGATGGTAGTGCTTCCCCTGGTGTTGGAAAGGTTAGTTGAAGACTGTTGCATTGTGTTATTGATTATCAATTTCTGTGGTTTGAGACTGTCGCAGGCTGTTTTTGATCCGACATGTTACTGTCTGGAATGCAGGTGTTCTTGGAGTATGCAGGTGTTGATGGTGCAACAAACGCCCGAGCAGGAATGAACGGGAGGAAATTTGGCGGCAATGAGGTGGTGGCTGTGTTTTATCCAGAGAACAAGTACTATGCAGGAGAGTATGACGGCTAATGTCGTGGGAATAGGAAAGTGCAAGTCTAATGAAGGTTTTCTGGATTGTGTATTTTGATTATAGTTTCTTTGTTAGTAGTGCCTTAGCCCTTAGGAGGATGGTGATGTGATCCTTTTAGCTTCTGAATGATACTGTTATTATATGTAACTCGAGGATTACTAATACGCTCTGCCTAAGCTCTCCCATCAAACTCCCAACTCTGTAATGTTTACTTTCGCCCCCAAGAATGAATGTCAAGACTCAAGACCCTGTAACTGCAGCAATGAAGTTGCAAGTCTGCTGCAGATGTTTGTTTCTCGTCTTTTCCAGCACTTGCAATTGCAACATTTGCGCTGTACCATGTATCATTCGATCATCTCTTCCACAAATTAGGAGTAGGTCAGGAGCCGTTAAGGATACTGATAGAAGGATCGTCTACCGAATGTCATACAACGGCTGAGATGAAAGATACACTTCATTAATGGTCTACATACCTTTAAAGTATAAATTAGTGGAATGAGGGGTCTGGATATCTGGAGACTGGCTGACAAGTTTTTAAAATTATCTCTACCATTTCAGGAGAGTGTTAACTTTTTTTCATTAAAATTATCGCCCATTTTCTGTATTTTCATAACTTTTTTTTAATAACTCAGGAACATCCTTTCCTCACGCACACATTGATTAAACGATGGTGGAGCGAAACCAAATCTAGGGGTCTCACTTGCTAGTAGGGATGACAACAAAACCCAAACCCACGGGTACCCACCCGACCCAATCTGATCAACGCGGGTAAAATCCGTGTTGACGGGTTTTGGGCCGGGTTTGGGTTTAAACACGTTCACTATTCACCGGGTTGGGTTGGGTTTGGGTTTAGGTAAATCCGACCCATGGGTACCCGCCCACACCCATATAGTTAATTTTCTCGGTATATCTAATATTCTAAACAACTAATCTTATTTATGTTTGTGGAGACATGTCTAATTTTTTCTTTCTAATTGTGTAGAATGAAGATGTCATCGAGTGGAGAGTGAAGAAACTTAATTGAAAGGAAGAAACTTTCAATTAATCATGTTATTTATGGATAATTTGTGATTTGCTTCAATTTTATTGAGTTTTCTAGATTGGTGTTGAACAATTTGTATAGTTAATTTGTGATTTGCTTGAATTTTCTAGAATGGTGTTTTATATATGGATAATTTGTATTGAGAGATTGATATTCGACTTTAATTTTGATGGAACTTGTTAGAATAAATTTTTTACGACAAAAACCCGTGGGTACCCATGAACCCACGGATACCCAACGGGTTGGGTTGGGTTTGAGTTTTTCAAACCCAATGGGTTTTGACCCCGGATTTTTTTCACGGATAAACCCATGGGTTTGGGTTTAACCCGACCCATTGCCATCCCTACTTGCTAGTTGCTAGAGCTCTTTGGGGCCTCCATGAGAATCTTCATTAAATGCCTTCAGGAACATCATAGCGGGTCTCGATAGGGGATTAAATAGTAAATACAAGATCTGCCATTTCCTGAAATGAGGGCTCACTAAAAGTTTCACCGCTAGATTATGTGACCTTTGGTCTTTTCATCCAACTGTTAAGGCTGGGGGAAGTGTGTTCCATTGCACTAGCAAGTAGGGGTGTGCAACAGTTCGGTCCGGTCTGGACTGGATCAAACTCATAAAAATCGCGGTCCATTAGTGAAAGACATATTAGCATCAAGGACCGAACCATCATTGCATTTGATCCGGTTCGGTACGTTTCAAATATCAGTTCGGTCCATCATTTCTTCAATAATTGTAAACTTCATGTGGACCAATGACCAGACCGCATTATACTCGGTCCGGTATGGTCCGGACCGTACCATTCCACTCCCCTACTAGCACGTGACGCCATTGAGAAAAATGCACAGCGAAAGGGTAAATTCTGTAAAATAGAAATGGAACGAGCGAAGAGTCGATCTAAAACCCTAGGAAAAACCCAGCTGCCTTGCCGAAGTTAAAACACACTTCCACTGACGCCCTCTCCAACCACGGAACACCGAAGAAACCATGGCCGCCTCTTCCCTCCCCCTCCGCCACCTCCGTCACCTCTCCACCACCGCCGCCGCTGCTGCTGAAGCCGCCACAACAGCTGCTGCTGCGGCCGCTGATTCCTCAATCTCCATCTCCAAGGCGAAATCCAAGCTCCGATCCGAACACGACCCGGACAAAGCCCTGGAAATCTACTCCTCCGTCTCCGATCGCTACTCCTCCCCTGTCTCCTCTCGCTACGCCCAGGACCTGACCGTCCGCCGCCTCGCCAAGGCCCGCCGCTTCTCCGACATCGAGTCCCTCATCGAGGCCCACAAGTCCGACCCTAAGATCAAGCAGGAGCCTTTCCTCGCCACGCTGATCCGATCCTATGGCCTCGCCGGAATGTTCGACAACGCTCTCTCGACCTACAACCAGATGGACAAATTAGGTACCCGTCGTTCCTCAATCTCTTTCAACGCCTTGCTGTCTGCTTGCAATCAGTCGAAACGTTTCGATCAGGTCCCAATCTTGTTCTCCGATATCCCGTCCAAATACGGCGTTAGGCCTGATAAGATTTCATACGGTATCTTGGTCAAGTCTTACTGTGAGTCCGGGAAGCCTGAGAAGGGTTTGGAGATACTGAGAGAAATGCAAGATAAAGGAGTGGAAGTGACTGCTATCACGTTCACCACCATTCTGAATTGGTTGTACAAGAAAGGGAATAGCGAAGAGGCTGAGAGGCTTTGGAATCGAATGGCGAGAAGGGGCTGTGAAGTTGATGTTGCTGCTTACAACGTTAGAATCATGGATGCACATGATAAGGAGCCCGAGAAAGTTAAGGAATTGATCGAAGAGATGGGGACTTCAGGGTTGAAACCGGATACGATCAGCTACAATTACTTGATGACTTGTTACTGCAAGAATGGGATGTTGGAGGAAGCTCAGGATGTGTACAAGAGGTTGGAGGAATTCGGCTGCAAGCCCAATGCCACCACTTTCAGGAGCTTGGTTTACTACTTGTGTCTGAACGAGAGGTTCGAGGCAGGGTACAGAGTGTTCAAGACTAGCGTGGGGCACAACAAGATCCCGGATTTTAATACATTGAAGCATTTGGCAGAAGGGTTGGTGAAGAAGAAGAAGATTAAATCTGCGAAAGGGTTGATTCGCACGGTCAGGAAGAAGTTCCCACCTAATGTGTTGAACGCTTGGAGGAAAGTGGAGGAAAATCTTGGCCTTGCATCTGTTGCTGGTGAGGATGATGGTGATAATGAAGAGGAAGATGAAAATGAAAATGAGAATCGAGAAGCTGCAGCTCAATGATAAATGAAGATTTGGTTGTAAGATTTTTGCTCTACTGCCAGTCAGTTTAGTGTATCTCATAAAGTTGCAGCCATGATTGCTTCAGTTTGGCTTCTTAGTTTAGTGCTAAGAAGATGTAACTTGCTTAGCTACCTTAGAGCTAAACTGGGGTTGAGAAGTTAAATTTTGAGCTTCACGCATACACAACTTTGGTTTGATTGGTTTATTTGTGTTGATGCTGTCGATGCTATCAACATGGGACATGAAGTTATGCTTTCAGTTTGGATCCGATTTTCTATGTATGTTCAAATTAAGTTTGTAGTTTCAGGTACATACGGTTCTTTCACCGATTTATGTGCTTTACGTGAATATACGTATCGAAGCCTGGAAAATTTTGCTGGAGAGTGCACTTTTAGGTTCTGGTTGCATGTGTGGAAGAGAGACAGAGAGAGCACAACAGAGTCATGTAGATTCAGAGAACATTACTCCTTCCTGAAAAAGCTCTGGTTCAGGTCGTGTTAGGCTCTTTGTGTCAGTGTCGGAAGTGGACACAGCCTTAGCAAAACTGGCGGGTCTGGAATGTGACGATGAACACAGCCAGTGCTTAGGGCATGTTGTTCCGGGGTACTCGCCTCTCTTGTTAGCTCGAGCTGATGGCCAACGCAGCCTAGACAACGAGCCTGGGTCCAGGGCACGCTCTTCTCATAACTGATTTTCTGGATTTCTGCACTTGTGTTTGGTAAACTCTAGAGAAACCAGTGAGCACGGATCGTATTGACCCTGTGTTCGACGCTTCTGTTCTCGTTTCAGCTTCGGTTTCGAGCACTTGTGGGGTGGAACGTATGAGTTTTGTTCAGCTTTTGTTTCGTAGTTCGTAGAACTGACTTTCAACGGCGAGCTCTTCAGTTGATCAGCTGTTTCTTCCTTTCTGCTCAACACGATCAGATGGCAAGGAGTGAATCATGAAGCTTCAAGGGGAGGTAATGGATAACTCAAGACGAACAATAGTTATCCAACTCTTCACCCTTACGCTCTAGGTGGAATATTGGTTTTTGTCATATGCTATATGCAAACTTAACACAGTGCCAAAAAAGTATGGGGAGCGCATGCAAATGGGTTGATTGCAACTTCTGGGCCAAACCAATTCCTTTGTTGTCATTCCATTCATGATCAGTACTACTGCTCTGGACCAACTCTTCAATGTGCCACTGACTGTCTTGATAGCTACTCTAAGTTCGTAACAAATAAAAACGAGCGTTTCTTGTTTTCCATATTTAGGTCCACTTTTGAAATCGACCGCATGTATAATTATCCCACTTTGAAACGTTTTGAGTAAAATTTTTTGGCGATCGTCGACAGACTTGTAATAAATAGGCCAATCGCTGGCTCTGATGGCTACGTAAAATCTCCCTGTTTGGGCCTGGCTGGCTTGCCTTTGTTGGACCTTTTCGGTCGGCCTTGTGATTTGTTTGCTTTGGGTCTTTCTTCGCCTTGCTTGCCAGAAGGAATGGCAATGGGCAGATCCGGGGCGGGTATCTCGATATCTGTACCCGTGTCGTGGCATTGTGACAGGTCGGGTACGGGTCGAGTAATTTATTATGGGGCGTGTGTTGGGCAGTTTGACCCAAAGGGTATGTAATTTATGCGAAAAACATTAGAATTATTTGTTATTTTAATTAAAAAAAATATAATTTGATAAAATGTAGTTAAATTATTGGAGAAATTGAGTTTTTCACTTATTTACAACTTTATTATACCTTAAATATAGTGTAATAAGAGGAAAATCATAAATAATTTGACCAATATTACATGTAATTTAGGGGCGGGTCAGGGCAGGTCAAGTCGATGAGAGATACCCATTCCCGCCCCCGCCCCAAAACGGGCCAAACATGTCGGGTAAATCGGGTCAGGTCAAAATTGTCATCCCTACTTGCCAGCAAGCCAATCAATTAATTTCTACCGAGCTGTAATAGAAGCGAGGTATAATCAATATTTTCAAGAGTCGTTGGAACTGATTAGTAAATGACATGACATTAATGTTGATTTTATCAAGTAATCGTGGGCGTTTGTTTAATGGCCGGCCTCTTCGAGAGATCTTTGTATGTAGTTCCTTCTCTTTTTGACAAACTCATAATTGCGACCCTGAATATTAACCGTTAATGATCAAAATACAATATATGAATTTCCTTTCATTTGAGGGAGTCGATTTTGTTGTTGTCGTCGTCTCAAATGATCTACGTATGCGGTTCATTCTCATCGACAAACCCACAAGCAAGCAACTGTCTCCCAGCTGCTAGCTAGGTAGTTTCTTACCCCCATGCTTTTTGGGGCACATACAAACAACATGTTCCAGAGGTAGAGGAACAAACACCCACGAAACCCACTCCTCTTCCAGCTTTTATTCATCAATTCCACAAATCACACCATCCACACACCATCATCAAAATTAAACCACTCTGCCGCCCTCTGCCTATATATAGTCTCCCAACACACACAACAAAATCCAGCAAACTAATTAAACCTCCTGCACACCTTCATCCCACAGGAAAACCATCATCGATCGATCAAAAATACCAAACATGGAGAGCAGAAGCGTTAGTTTGACTGCACTGGCAATGATGCTAGCGCTGTTCCTCGCCGCCGCGGCCGGCCCGGCCCAGTGCCAGCCGTCGTCGGTGGCTGATCCGGGCAGCTCCTACAAAGGGCACAAGGCGTGCGACCCAATGTGTTTCGTGAAATGTGTGATGTCCGGAGGGGACATCAACTGCTTCGGCACCTGCATACTGCAGTGCCTCTTCCCGACCACCGGCGGAGAGCCCGACCGCACCGACCCCCAGGCCTCCTGCATGGCCGACTGCGCCGTCCCCGCCTGCGCCAAGCTCTGCACCAAAGCCGAACCATGTATGTCTCTATATATATAATTTGTCGACACATCTTTTGACCGTTGTTATAAGCCGTGTAGTTAAAAACGCGTTTTTAGGTTGAAGCGTTTTGGTGATTTAAAAGTGTAAAATCGTAAGTTTTTAAGTTTTAAAGCTTGTTTTAACTACATTAGTTATAAAAACGAAGATTATGCGTAGAAGCATTTTGGTGATCTAAAAGTGTAAATCTAACGCGTTACTTGATTGATTGATTAGTCTCCAAGGGAACGGAACTTTGCCTGGAGTCTTGCGGAGACCACTGCGCAGACGTGAAGAAGCAAGGGAGCGGAACTTCGCCATGAATTGAACATCATGGTGGCGCGGTTCATCAATGGCGGGGGATGGACCGTCGTTGAAATTAAGTTCGACGCTTTGTAATCTTTCACTACAGTAAGAGATGGGTTTAAATAAAACGGACACTCAAATTTACGAATGAAGTTGGTGTCCATATAATAATGCAATTGATGTATCGGTTCCATATTTCAATATATATATAGTTTAATAAATGAAGTTTTTTAATATTTGGTTCTTTAACTCACAACAATGCAACATAAGTACATAACCACGAAATTCCTTATTTTGTCATTGCTCCAAAAATCTGGCTACTATATTACACATCTATGAGGTTGGAACACAAAATTTTACGCGCATATATAAGAGGCTTAGTGGAGAACCCGGGTGTCAGTTCACAGCGTAGTTACGAATTATCAATTAGCTATTTATAAATGAGATTGTTAGTTTTTAATCACTTTGTGTTTGCGCTTGTAAATATGATGCAACTCGACACAAAGCATAATTACAATCCACGAGTAAAAATAGGCTAATACCCATGAAACGATTTCAAAGATCCTATCAAACCCAACAAGGGGAACACAAGCCTCTGCTTATAAGTAGCCCATTAGGCATTCCAAGTATGAGGTTCTCCTCCTCCTCCTCTCATTTGGGAGCATAAAACTTATCTCTCTATACCTTTAATCTCTATATTTCCTTATCACAATACTAATGTTGATTGTCAGAGGGTAGATGACAGGGCCTCCCACATCTTCCTCAAATCCAGCCTTTTGTTTTGGTAATTACGGCGAAGCATTTTTATTAATATTATGAAAAGGAAAAGGGAGAAAAAAAAAGGATTGTAAGATTACAAAATATGTTGTAGATGATGGGGCCTCCTCCGTCCTTCCTCAGATCCATCCTTTCGTTTTTTTTTTTTTGAACAGTGGTAACTTTCATTCCATCCGAGCAAGCAAAGAAAAGAGTTCATTACAACAGTGGAGCAATAATATTAGAAACTAAAATCCAATCCACAGGTAACGATTCCAATCTAGCTTGACAAGCAACCCAATCCGCCAACATGTTTAACCGCCTTGGGACGAACTCGATGCGAATCCAAGGCGAAGAGGACAAGATGGAAGTCATACGCGCAAGGGAAGCTTGACAAAGCCAAGGCCAGGAGGCCGGGTCCTGATGCAATGCAAGAGTCAACACTTGACAATTTGAACGAATGCAAGTAGGAACTGGATCTTGCGCTGCAAGCAAGATAGCATTAAGGAGCCCAATTGCCTCAGCTTGAAACGGACGAGAACAAAAGAAAGACTCAGCCTTGCCATCATACACTTGACCCTGAGGATTAGCAATAGTAATCCCATATGCCGTCGGGAGGGATTCTGAGACAAACGAGCCGTCGCAGTGGATCACTCGGAAAGTAGGCGATGGTTCAATGTTGTGATGGGAACCCCTCGGCTGAGAAGATAAAAGAGCAGGTCGGCGGGAAGCTCCAGTGCTTCGAGCTTCATTAATATCCAGAAAATCAGGACCTGCAACAATTATCGTGGAGGCTGGGGAAAGAGCCTTGCTGTCAAAGATATAGGAGTTCCTGGGAATCCAAATATTCCAGAGACAACACACAATCTGGCGAATGCGAGTGTCGCTAAAGTCATCCTTTAGTCCGAAAAACCGATGCGCAAAAGACGAGCCCTGTGCTGGGAGATCATTGAGCAGACCGGAAAGGTTCCATGTTTCGGTTGCGTGCCGACAGTAGAAGAGGCAGTGCATAATAGATTCAACCGGAGCATCACAGATCAGACATCTCGGGTTGGGGGCACATGTCTTGAATGGAGTCTTTCCCTAGTAGCAATAGCTCGCTTAGAGCATTTCCAAAGGAAGAATCTGAGCTTCGGGGGGAGGGCAAGTGACCAAAGCCAAGACCATTCCAGATAGCCCAAAAGATTGGTCCCATCATGGTGGTTAGGGACGAGAAGGTCACGCTGCTCTCGGAGTGAGTGGTACGATGAGCAAACAGAAAAGGATCCCGACTTTGTGAATTTCCAGGCCCAACAGTCACTAGCACCTGCCTGACCAATCAGGATTCGACAGATAGCGTTAGTAATGTCTTCTGAGCAGACATTCTGAATGGCTTCAACATCCCATGCTCACTCCTCTTGAAGAATCCAGTCACAAACTCTAGAATAGGGGAGGTCGGTGACAGGTATAGCGTGGGATGGAATGGAGGGGATCCAAGGATCTCCTTGGAACCAAGTTTCCTCTCCTGACAGAACCACGCGAACCAGTCCCATTTTCAGCTTCTCTTTCGTGTCGCACAAGCCATTCCAGATCCAGGATCCACTCCTTCCTTTCTTGGCCGACAAGAAATCTCCATATGGGAAGTAAAGTCCTTGAAGAACTTTAACCCAAAGAGCTTCAGGATTCTCCAGGATTCTCCACACCTGTTTACTGAGAAGAGCCAAGTTAAACAGATGGAAATTACGAAAACCAATTCTAGGGGTGGGAATCGGTCGGTAAACGGTAAATTGGTTACCGAATTTACCGGTTTCGGTATACCGAACTGGCCAAAACTGTTTACCGTTACCGATACCGGTTTGTAATCGGTTTACCGATTACCGAATTACCGGTAAACCGGTTACAAACCGGTTTACCGAATTACCGCAAGGGGGAACAAATTTGGTGATTGGATCCTTCTAAAGAATGGAGAATTACCTGTTGTACTTTAGAAAAAAATTAATCATTTATCTCTAAATAAAAATTAATCATTTATATTTCATTTTCACTTATCTTATTCTTTTTTTATCTAACTTCCTCTCTACGTATTATTTGCCTAACGCCACCACCAATATACATATTAATCTCTCTCTCCCCACTCTGGCTCTGCCCCTCTCCGTCTCCAACCCAGAAGAGCTCTGTTCTTTTGTTTGTTTCTTCTGAATATCTCCACAGCTATTTTCTCTATGCATGTATAATTTTCTCTCTCAAATCTCAAAATTGAACAGAAAATCCACAAACAGGAGCTTTGATCTCTCTCCCCTCTCCGACCCGGCAGAGAGCAAGATGAAGGCCTATTCCCTTTTGTTTTTACGATCAGAGGAAGAAACAAAAGTGGGTTGATGATCGTCGATTCACTGCGGGGAAGGTCAATGTAAACAATAACTGTGCTGGTGACCCTCGATTCTAGACGGCGGAGGACGATTGATAGTTGGGCTGCGATGGTGACCCTTTGATTCGCGACGACGGAGGGAATTCCCAGCCAGCCATACAACGACGGAAGGAACTTCCGACCAGCCAAGAAGGCGAAGGTCCATTGACGAATTGGGTGACCTAACTCCTGCTTCTTCTTTTTGCTTCTGTTCCTCTGTTTGTAATTCAAATTGGTGGTAGTAGGTTCACTAGTTTTTCTCATATTTGCCCACTTCTGCTCCACCTTCCTTATTCGGTATTTACCGATTTACCGACGGTAAATACCAACCCCGTATCCGGTAAATTGGATCCTCACCGTCGCCACCGAATACCGATACCGACGGTAACCGGTTTACCGTTTACCGACCGTTACCGGTTCGGTAAAACGATAAACCGGTTACCGTATTACCGTTTGTCAGCCCTAACCAATTCCAACTACCTGTTAGGGTTCTCGAGTGTTCGAGCATCACACCAGTGGATGGATTTTTTTTTCATCGACCCTACCCAAAAAAATCTACGGAGGATAGCATCCATTTTATTAGTAAGCGAGAGTGGGAGAAGAAAGACACTCATCACAAAAGTTGGAAGGGCTTGGAGGACCGCTTTAAGAAGAGTCTCCTTACCACCCGATCATCCCAATCATGGAGCGCTTGCTGATTGGCCATTCTGAGAAGATCTTCCCGATAAGAGTGTTCCTATGTGCCACCCTGCTTTCATCTGGTAGCATTTCAAAATCCCATTCTTCAGCTTGATTGATCAGCTCGTTAAATACACAATGATCATATTTGGTTTATGAAATTTAAATACATTTAATTAATATTTCACTTACGAATCAAGAACAATGTGCAATTTCAATTTATTTCCATTCTCACAATATACGAATCATGAACAGGTTGCATACAACTATACATATGAATTCAATATATCAAATTAAGTGTTGGATTTTAATGGTTAATCCTTTCTTGTGGCGAGACAACTCTAAGAAGTGAAATCTTGTTAATATCCACCAACAGTACAATACGTTAAAATATTGGAATAACTGGTCTCCCATATACTAAAAACTAGATTAGGACCCGCCTGTTGGCCGGATAAATTTCGTTAATAGTATAAATAACTTTAAGTAATTGTTCAAAGCAGGACATGTTTTATTTCATATAAAAAATTCAAATAATTTAGTTACTGGAAATATCATACTCATATAATTTTCAGCATGCTAACTCGATTTATTTACCGAAGTCATTACTCAAAGTAAAAAACGAAAGTCATGCAAGGAAATTGACTCCTAAAAAATAAGACGGTCACACTATTTGCTACTAGATGTCAATAATTATTGAAAATTTCAATTTGAATTTTTCCTGATTGCTCTCCCTTCGCCTTCTAAAGCACCATCATCATTCATCTCCTTCAGTTACTAATGCCTTTGTCTTCCTTAACCTTTTTCTTCATAATAGGTTATTCCTACTTATGTTTTCATTGGAAGCCAATCTTTAATGGTAAAATGTTCGAAAACACTGGACATTACATACATTAAAAGTTTACACCCATTTACTCCTAAATTTAGAAAAAATAAAATTGTTATGTTGGGATCTTGGGTCAAGACAGGTGATATTGTAGTACGTAAATTAACGGCTCATTCATGAGATTTATTTTTTCCCAAACACTGATAAACAACCCTGCGACCAACACAAAATTTGATAATCTGTAAATTAAAAAATTAATGAATAACCAGTAGGTGTTGCCTATTCTCCGGTAGATCCTTTCTTCTTCTTCTTCTTGTTGTATATGTACATATTTGGTTGCCCAATTTGTAAATATGGCTTACGAAAGTTTAGTGATTGACAATGAGAATAATTAAACCTGCCACGATGCCATCTTCTATCTATGGTGGTTTATTTTTAATCTGTAAATCATGAATTAAGTGGGAAGTAGGATGATCCTTCTAAGTTGACTTTAAGAAGATTGAGAGATTAGATGAAATTTATTCAGCAAGGTGAAGCCAACTTTCATAATAATCTAATGAAAAATTAATGGTAGTGATACGATGAGGAATTATTGTAGAGATCGAGTACCATTGTAGAAGAATTGATAGTTCATGAATGCTAGATATATAATTAGACTAACAAGTTTTTATTCCAAAATATGTCAAAATGAATATTATTTTATATAATATATTTAATTTTTATTTAAATGTTTGTAATTTAAATTAAAAAAATGAAATACATTGATTAAAAACTAATAAAGGATAAATTATGCACCTTTTGTTTTTTACTGTAAAACCGGTATAAGTTATGCACTTGAGTTATATACCTAATCTGTTAATAAACTAACAATAATATAAATCACCTTTTCTCACGGAAATATCATTGATTTTATTCTTACAGAAATATATAATCCTAAGTGGATAATATGAACATGGATTTTATTAATTATCCCAAGTTATGTAGTGAAACAAAAAAATTGAGGAACCTTTTTCTTACGGAAGAATTGGAATGGATAGAAAAAATAGGGAAAGGGGTCTTTTAGATTCATTAAATTTAGTTGATTAATAATAATATGTTCGGTAATTCTTTTTAATAATTCAAGTGACAAAGATATCCCTCCTAAAATTACTTAGATGGTTGAAAATTTTGAATGGCGTGGGTTATGACGGAGAACCTCCATATATAAGTGGTATGATGATGATGATTGTTTCATGCTAAAATTATAATATTAACATTTTCCATACCTTACAATTAAATCAAATAAATCTCCACCTTGTTGTCATAATGATTTTTCTTTTATAATGAAATTGAACAAACTTTCCTTTTTAGCAAACTTTCAATCTACTAATACCTTAACCGAAGTTCATTTCTGTCCGTTTATAATTTAAAAAATGAAAGAATCTTGAACTAACTTTGGAAATTTTTTCTTTTGTCTTGAACTAACTTTGGAATTTATAAATGTTACAAAAGCTGGTAATGGAGATTATGATATCTATGTTATATAGGTGTCAATGACTCAATACAATAGAGTAGAAGTTATCCATTGATACTGAAACCAAATATGAATAATCGATTTTGTGGTATGGCATATGTATCACGAATATTTAACATAGAGTATTCATAGTAGTTCGGATCATTTATACCAATATAAAAAGCTACCTAATTAAAACCATAGAAATTGAAAGTAGACATGGACTATTAAAACCCCCAAGTCAGTGACCATCACTACAGCAAAACAAGTTTATAGGCCATGCTTGTTGTTGCACGATGCTAGCTTCATTAGAATATCGAGCAACAATGAACTCGAATTAGGTTTAAGATATAAGAAAACTCCATAAACTGTATCAACGTGCTTTTAGCACGGCGAGCAAATGGCGTGGCTAAAGATGTTTATTAAATTGCATATATGATGTTAAACTCTTTACAATCAAGTATAAGAAACAATAAACGAATCGTCTGGATACTTATTAAACTGCATATGTGATGTTAAACCCTTTACAATCAAGTATAAAAAATAATAAACGAATCGTCTCGATACTTAATAAAAGAACGACTAAGATAATATACCTGAAAAAATATTAGAATGAGTATTGCCTATTATACTTCAAGTTATTTCATGCTAATTATAATTTTTCTATACATTAAAAATGAAATCTCAAATCTGATAACAACCCTAAAATAGGTTTGATAGTTCTTTTTAGATGATAAAATCAAATAAAATTCATTTACTTACTAATACCCTGAGTTCCTGGCCCCCTTACCCCTGAAGTTCATTTCTCATTGCACATAATTAAAAATTAAAGGAATCTTGAACCAACTTTTGGAAGTTCGAAACGCTACAAAGCTGGTAATGAAGCCTATCATTTACAAGTTATATTTGTATTAATTTAATGACTAATTTTGAAAATATCCATTATTGTCGATCTATGATGAATGTCCAACATATATGGATCATTCGTGATAACCTGCATAATTTACATCAATGTGAAAAGCTACTTGATTATCACAAAAGAGATCAAGAGTACGGATAGACGGAGCCTCTGACTCAGTGACCAATCACTATAGCTAGCTAGCCAAACAAGTTAATTAATCGTGCTTGCCGTTACATGGTAGTAGCTTCATCAGAAAATCGAGCAACGATGATATGCCGTTGTGAGTTTAGCGTACAATTTCAAAAAGCTTTTTGTTGGTCTAAGATGGACTTATCCCGGTTATATAATATCCTCTTTTACACTTAACCTTAAGGCGATTGGTTCAAGTTTTAAGACGAACTTATGAATATGCACGTTTGATCTCTAAGACGAGGAAAATTCCTATGACATCTTCATGCTCACTTCAATCTAAGGTGAATGATTCAAGTCTCAATACCCCCTTTATAAGCTTTAAGTGATGGACACACCCCATAGACTAATTCTAGGGGAAGAAGTGTTACTGTCACAGACTCCCAGTTGTGCTTGACATGGATTCATTTTCTAAGCCCGCGGTGGTGCAAACTAAACAAAAGCTGCTAGTAGCTAAGTGAGAAACGGAAGGAGGAGAGCTCCAACACGTCCACAATTTAAACGATTTCATTCTGCGTCATAAGTTTATCTGTAACATTCTATATACTTTGCTTTCATAGACAAAGAGAAATTGTACTTCCACACCACCGCCTGCAATTCTACATCAAATGGATAGAGACCCTATAACGTTTTTCAGGTTGCCAACAGTAGCAATATTCTCCCCTGCTTCTACTTCTGAATTGGTCCCATCTTCTGATAAGTAAAACTGGTCTCCCTTCTTCAGTCTCTAGTTAGCTAGTTAGTTTTGTGCAAAGGTTAAAGGACTTGATTAGTTACAGGTTAAGAAGAAAGGGGAAAAAAAGGGTCAGAAGGGTTGTGCAGAATACAAAGCTATGGGTCAACTGCAGCTAGCGAATTGTTTATCTATGACTCGACCTTCAAATGCCTTGTCTCGGAGTTCCATTGTCTTGCAATGTCTTCTGCAACTTTTTGTGCATCGATGGAAGTTCCAAGCAATCCTCTCTTGGTGAACCCAATGCAGTAGAGTCCATTGTTTCCTTTCCAGCTGTTTGGGAATGGGGTTCTTGGGTACCCGTCCTTTTCGTTGAAGAAGTTCTCCTCCTTGAGCCATGAAGTCACATTGCTTCTGTAGCCTGTTGCTAGAATCGCTGCATCGAATTCCTTCACTCTGCCATCCACAAACTCCACCCCATTCGTCGTGAATCTTCGAATCCCACGAACAATCTGATTGAATAGAATTCATCAATATTTTCCAAGAGAAGATGGATTGCTGCTGACAGAAATGGATGAAAAAGGTTGTTTTGTTACCTTGATTTGGCCAGACTTGATTCTGGCAAAAGCTCCAAAATCCAAAACAGGGGTCTTCCCAGTGGAGTTCTTCAATTCCAAGGGCCCAATATCAGGCCTTTTGATCCCAGATCTACTTGTGTCCCCAAGAATCAACCTTGAGACAAAGATGAGGAACTTGTCAACTAGTTTCACTGGGAACCACTTGAGCAGCAACATTGATAGTGCAAAAGTTGAGATCCCTAGAATCTCTCTAGGCAATATATGCAGCTGCAATGCAAAGAATTCCATGGTTGAATAAATTGGAACAAACAAACTAAAGAACATCTCTTTATATTGTTCGTAAAGAAAACTGAGAGGGAAATTTGTAATCTTTTTTTACCTTATCTCTGACAAAGAGGGAAACATCAGCACCATTATCAAACAAATCCAAGCTAACCTCCATTCCAGAATTCCCACAACCAACCACCAGAACTTTCTTCCCTTTGAATTCACCTCCATCTCTGTAGCTGCTCGTATGCAGAGTCCTCCCTCTGAAATCTCCCAACCCTTCAATTTCAGGCAGGAAAGGGTCAGCATTCTCGCCAGTGGCCACAATCACCCACCGGCATATGAACTCATACCCACACGCTTGAACCTGCCAGAACCCCATGTCCGGATCGTACTGAACTGCTCGAGCCTCCTGACGAAACACGGGCTTGATGGCAAAGTGCTTGGCATAGGCCTCCAGGTAAGCTATGAACTGTTGCTTTGTTGGGTATGCAGGGAAGTGAGGTGGGAATGGGAAGAAAGGCAGCTCACAGAACTTCTTCGGAAGGTGGAGTTGCAAACGGTCGTATGTCCCAAACTGCCACAGAGACGCCAAGCAGCTTCCTTTCTCAAGTATCAGAAATGGGATTTCTTTGGTCTTAAGGCAAGCGGCCGCTGCAAGCCCTGAAGGTCCTGCACCAATGATCACAGGGCCAGGAACCCACACCAGCTTTGAACCCGGGATCATTGGCTGCTGGAATATCCTGCTGTTGCTGCTGTTTATGGCAGGTTCATTCAGTTTTTGGCGCATAACTCGGTTATACAACTAAGCCGGCTGCTGCTGGTTTTCTGGGGAGAGTTATACCCTATATGTGAGCGGGAAGGGGTATATAAAAGAGCTGGAGAGAGAGGGAGAGAAACTAAGATTTAGTTCTAGTAAAGGAGAAGGTATCTTTGGCTCAAAATTTGCCTGAAAATGATGTCGTTCACATGCCTATGGGAAGGGAGGAAGTTGTGGATAATGCGTGGAAAGCTGGAGGAGGAAGGAGTAGTTGCCTTTGTTGGGTACTCTTCTGCTGCTTCTCCCTGCCAATATGAAGAAGAAAGCAAGGCCATTAACCAATGGTGCTCTTCTGGTTTTTATAGGCACTCAAGGAGTCTCATGTCTCCATGGAGGCAAGGAAGGAAGGGAATGAATCTCAGTGAAACTCCCCAATCCAACAGTGTCCAAAATGCTCAATCTGAATAACAGTTTCTTGGGTTTTAGCCTCTTTATGAGTGCCAAGGAAATCCTGTCCTTGTTTAGAAATGGTTTCCTTATATTTCTTTTTTGTTTTGTTTTTTTTGGTTGGGTTGGGTAATGGTGAAGCGTCTGGAAATTGGAATCTGTTGACGGCCCAATAAAACCAACATTCCTCGGTTTTGTCGTTACAGTTGTTCTCATCCTGCTGTAACATTGAATGCCATATGTGCTCAGCTAAGCACAAAGCAAGAAGAAAACAACGTTTCCCTGGGTCGCTATCAGAAAGAAGCACTCCAATGGATGATGCAAGAAGTAGGGAAAAGAGCCAAACCTAATAAGGGTAAAGATTTGCTGGGTGTCAATTCACTCACTATTTAATTACTGAAAGAAGGGGGGAAGGTTTTGATTGTCAACGATTTCACCGTCGGCGTTTTGTGGTGGTGGTGAGAATGAGAGCGAGAGGCCTTTGGCGTTTTGGCCAGCTGCACTAATTACAGAGCAGATATTCTTGTTTCTGGTAAGGTTTTATGTGGTTCAAGTGCGAACCGCAAAGCAGAAGGATTCAAGCAAGTGGTGACGACGCACAAAGAGAAGGGAGGGAAAAAGAACATCGTTTTGGATAGAGAAAAGTAGGCATGGTGCGTTCACTTTTTTCGCATTTCCCTTCTACTTGACACGGCCGGATTCACCATCTTGCCCCATAGCTCCAGCGGCCGTCTGATGCGGGAGTTGCGCAACCTCAGCCGTTGGATAGCTAGGACAAAGTGGTGCCGGTTCATACCGGACAAGACCAGGAGATAGGACTGCAAATGAGCCAAACTGATTACAAGTGGCTCAGTGTTTGGCTCGTAAAAAACTCGTTCGATACTCGACTCGTTTATTGATGAGCCGAGATTAAGCTAAGCATTGTTCAACATGCAATGCTCGTGAGCTAGCTCATTTTGAGCTAGGATCTAGCTTGACAATGTGGCTAGCCAGCCACCTCGACTAGGGTTTTACGTGTTAATTGATTTTATAGCATACGAGTTGGCTTGTTGATAAATCATAATTTTGTTAGATTATATAACTCATTACATTTGATATTTAAGACTTTGGGTACATGAACAAATGTCTCACTTGTAATTGAAAAACAATAGATTGTTTAGACACTACTTACTATTAAACAACATGATATGAACATTAAATTTTATAAGCTTAATAACATGATACTCGAGCACGAATTGAAATCGCAAGCTAGTTGATGAGCCAAACTCGATTAGAACTCATGAGCTCATTATTGAGTCGAGCTTGAATCAAACACAAGCCAGAGTTTCATTGAAGAAGATGGCTGCAACTCGTTTATTAACGAGCTAAACTCAAAATAGGTCATTTGCAACCATAGTGGGGGATTTGGAAGTTATCACCCACTTCAGCCATGAAGGGTTGGGATCGTGCGACCCCCATGTCGAGAAACTGGTTAGTTACGCAGATGTATCAGCATACCAAACGAAAAGCATGAAGAAAGGCTTTGCACAGTGGCTTGAGAGAGCTCTTCCATGGGTTTGGACAAAAAGTTTTAAGAGACAGCTCCATTTGGAGACCTCTTCCCTTCCACACAATCTTCCCTACCAGCACAAGGAAACTTGTCATCTCTGGTAGGCGTTTCCCTAATTCCACCAGGGAACTCAATCTCCCATCAGAAGAGGACCGAATCGACGGCCGGGGTTAAGAAATAGCTCAATTCGATCTCTGGTTAGGCAATGTTGGAAGCCAAGCCAAGTAAAGGAACCTAAAGAGTACGTGGATGTACACCAAAACAAAGCATAGAAACCAGAAACTGCCAAGAAGCTTAGGAGGCTAGGGACCCAACATTTCCAACTTTGGGGCAACTGAATTGAATTGCGAAAAGGAAAAGAAAAGTTGGAGTAAGCTACAGAAACCTATCTCTTCACCAAACCTAAAACTGGCTACCATCGCATTCTAATGTGTACGTCACAAAACGTCCTACAAAGCAAGTACAAGAAAATGGGCGGCAGGGATTACTGATTAGCCAGACCTACAGACATGCCACATGTCAGTATAGCATAAACCCTCCAATCATTTGCCCTATCATTATTAGGCTCCCACTAATTTCCCCAATCACTAACAGGGAAACTCCATCGATGGATCAAAGTACACAAAGAAGAAGAAGAAGAAGATTTCTTCTTCAATTTTGGCTAATTCAGAAAGAAGATTTCTTCAAAAATGCCTTATCACTATCCGACACACAACACATTACTCCGATGTACAACAAACCCACTAACGAGAACAGGGAGGGGAAGAGGGGGGGAAAGTATGTAGGTCTGACTTTCAGTTAAAGGTACAAAAACAGTAGCACATGATTAAAACCCAACTTTAACTTTACCCCCTTTTCTCCCTTCCCAGCCTGAAGGAAGGGCTTCTAGTTTCGCACTCACAATTGCCAGCCCCATGGTCCATTCCCATTCACATGCCAACACAAGGAAAAAAGCTTTACCGCCTCCATTAAAGCCGAATCTCTGTCTCACCAATCTTTGAAAACCTTTATGTGGCCCAAAAAGGAGTGCTTCAGAACAATAGATTCTTACCGGATTCGAGTGCTTGTAAAGAGATGAATCTCCTCGATCTGAAGCCCTCCTGATAACCTGGGTTGATTCCAACATCTGTGATAAAGGCATATTCAGAAACCTGAAGAAAAGATCTGTTTATCAAGCACGGACACATAGTTAACGGCTTTGGGATGAAAGTATGATTTCACATAGCTTGATAGAGTAGACCGGTTCGAACGAATTTTTTTACATTAAATCATCTATCTTCCTAGATAATGGCTCAACGGTTCCAGACACGAACAGTAATTAATGATATGACAAACTTCTGAGAGACTAAAAACCTGGTGATGAAATGAGAGGGTGAGAGCAATCAATTTGAAGGTGGCGGCGGCATCATATTTGGGGGCGGAGGAGGTGGTTGCATCTGTTGCATGAGGGGCCTACCAGCCAACTGCTGGGGAGGAGGTGGCTGCCGCCACATTTGTTGCGGTGGCTGACCTCCCATCATTGCCATTGGCTGAGGCGGAGGTCTTGCATAGCCTCCGGGAATTCCCTGGGGAGGTGGTGGTGGCATGTTTTGAGGTGGAGGCCTGAACTGAACTGGAGGTGGTGGAGGCATATGTCCCATGGGTTGACTTGGTTGTGGAGGCTGACCCTGCCAATGGGGTTGTCCACCACCCATCTGCATTGGGGGGAAGGCTGGGTTTGGTGCACGCAACTGAGGAACTACCGGACTTGGAGGAACAACACCATTTGCAAAAGGACGGGGTGGCACTGGTGCACCAACCATAGCACCATTTGCCTGAGCGACACCAGGAAGTGTAGGAGGTCCACTGGCAAACATGGTATGGGGTCGACTTTTTGTAGTATTCTGATTGCTGGCAGCCAACACTCTCTCTGCATTATGAACCCAACAAGTGAAATAGTGTCCAGGCAGACTCATCCGACAAAGAACCATCGAAACCAGATGATGAAGTAACTCACCTGCCAGGGTCCCATGACGTTCCCCTTTAGTGTCTTTCTTATAAGCATATGACACTGTTATTTGACGATTGCACAGGTATTGACCAGTCATTGCCTGTTATAAGTGCACGAGTCAGAATTATATTATCAGCGAAAACATTCTTGAATCAACATAGCAAATTCACGAGCAAATATTTTCTTGAAATAATCAACTTCAGAAACATAATTATTATGGAAGGAAATTACCTCAATGGCAGCATCTGAAGCCTCAAAAGAGTCATAACTAATGAAACCAAAACCACGAGAATTTCCTGTTTCTGGATCTCTCATTATCTAATAAAACCAAGTACTGAAGTCAGTACAAATAACTAAACAAACATATTTTCGTAGACAAATGATAAAAAATAGTTACAAGGGGATGAAGCAAACTCCATAAGGCAAGGTCAATGTGGACTCAATAAATAAAAGTAACAAACATAACATACAGGCACCAAGGATTCTAAAGCAATGTTATTGTTTTAATTCATACACTTGAAAAAGAAAGCAAACATTAATTGCTTGATTGCACTCATAATGTAAAACTATAGAAGCATCCAGCCTTCATTTCAAGGAACTTCACCAATATTGCTCCTTTTCTTATATCTATACACAAACCAAAACCTAACTCAAGAGGAAAGAGCTACATAGTGCACGCAAGATAGGCAACGGAAACACCCAATTTCCCGCTCAGAAAGTGAAAATTCTAGTCATAGCTTGTAGTTTAAGGCTCAAATCTTTAACTTCAAGGTTGGGAAAATGAAAACAATAATCTCAGTGACAATATTACATACAATGTAAAAATGGCAGAACTAAAATGATAGTGGATGGGCTGACCTTGGGATTGCTAACGATTACTCCAAATGCACTGAAAGTGTCGTGCAAAAGCTTTTCATCAACATCCTGCAAAGAAGACAGCACCACACAATGGTTTTTAGTTAAGTTACACCAAATGCATATCCAAGATGCATCTTACTTGAGAAATCGAACGAATAAACCTACAGGATCAAGGTTTCCGATGAAAAGATTCGCCCCGACATCCAAGCTCTTTTTGTCTTGTGACGCCTGAAAACCACAGTGTATCCCAAATTGTGTTAAATATTCCACATGAACCAGAAAGAGCTTCAGACTGCAAACGAAAGCAGAAACACATACCTTGTTCACACGAATCGGCTTCCCATATAGCTTAATCATGTTCAACACCTTAATTGCCTACAAAATAGTGGAAACAAATGAAGAAAAGAAAAAACAATCACCATTGGCAAGTTTCATTCAGCATCTTCCTACAACGGCGAGTCATTCAATAATAAATGAACATCGAAAACCGGAAACCTGCTTACATAGTCAGCATCTTCTTCGCTTCGGAATTCCACGAATCCATATCCTTGGTGCAGGTTAGTCACCCTATCCTTTGGCACATAGACATTCACTGAACCAGAGCAAGCACAGAGATTCTCAGAATTAACTTTAAATTAAGAAACACAATAACAGAATATAATTTCGGAAGAAATTGATTGGATGAGGGAATGCATACCTACGGGGCCAGCTTGAACGAACAACTCCCATAGTAACTCCTCACTCATCTATCAGAACAAACCAGAGCAAGGAAAGAAATCTCAGCAGAAGGTAAAGAACGGAAGGAACCACAGAAGGGAAGAAGAGGGGAAAGTTGATGAACCTGGGGATCGAGGTTGCCGACGTAGGCGGTGGCATCCTGATTCCTCTCGGCAGAGTGCTGGCCGAGCAAATTCGCCCCGACGCCGGGAGTGATTCGAGTCGTCATTCCTTTAACTGTCTATCGTTCCCTCGGCTATCGTCGTTCTTCTAACCTTGTCTGGTTTCTTCAATGGTAAAACCCTAGACCCTTCCCTTTTCTGCTTCTCCGAGATTCCTGCAAAGTCTCGCTGGAGTTTCCGAGCAGTATTCAGAAGTAAAGGAAAAATTAAAATTAAAATCACACCGCGAAAAGGAACAGCGTTGTGGGTGGCGGCTATTTGCATACCACGGCGTCGTTTGTTTAAAACCGGGAAGCCGGAAGCGAGTCTGGACTTCAAGGCCCAAAATGTGTTTTAAAAAGCTTAAAGTTCAAAGATTGGGCTTATAACGACAAAACACATAGACATCCAGAACACAGGGCCAGTGGTTTGTTTGTTATAGGCCCGATTAATGTCTTCCTAGGTCATCACTAGGAACCTTATAAGTTATAACCCACATTATCCCATTCCGAGGCCCAGTATTTAACGGAAGTGGAAATGTGGAATCACAATCTCAAACGGTAATTGACACTACGGCTGGGAATCTAGCTAGACCAAACCGTAAGGGAAACCACGGTCTCGATCAGATTGTATGGTTTGATCCGGATCGTGGGATCAGAATTATGGTTTGATCTGGTCTGAGGTTTTCTCTTTAGTTTGTGGTCACGGCCTGGATCGCACTAAACCTCGGTTAACCGTGATGTATTGTGATTTACTACTCACTAATCCAAATCAAAATAGTACTAAATCTCCCTTTATGCATTTGGAAGAACAAATCGAGCATGATCATCCAACTAAAAACCAACAGACTGCTCAAGCAATCTCTATTTGTTATCTCCTAATGAAACAACCACACGAAAATAAGAAAAGATGGGAAGATCATCTGAACTATCCATCAAGAATACATAGTCGATTATATAGAAATGCAAAATAAATTTATTTACCCGAGTGAGATAAGAGAAATTCTGTCGAGCGAAGCGGCCAACCTAGTGGATCCAAACGATCTCGACTTTTTCGTGGTGTGATTGGGTGCGAGAATATTTTGCACCACCTCGAAGTGGGAGAGAAGCGATAACACAAAGAGGAAGAGGGAGACGAAGTTATTTGTTGAGTACACTTCTCTCCACATATTTCTTCGCGGATTAATTACACTCATTAAATTTTTGTTTCACTAATATTTTTGACACTGAACTTTTTATTCTTATAGATATCGAAAAGGATTGAAGGGTTGGAGAAAAGTGAAGTTTTACTGATCACATAATCTGCTTGGTCTAGATCGTATCGAACCGCACAGTACAAATGTGGTCTGGTCCGAACCATATAATATATGGTCCAGTCTATGATTTGTTTTCTAACATGTTGGTCTGGACCGCAAACCATATATATGGTCTGATCTGATCCGAGACCGCACCATTTCTCACTCCTATTAACACCAATGAATTGTGTGCATCTCAATTGTGGGTACGTACATATAGATAGAAAGAGACTGTCGTCATAAATTCACTCTGTAGCTGCCGACTGCCGTAGACTGGGAGACAAGTGCAAAGACCGGAATTGGTCGCCATATATGATGAGGCATCTCTACTCTAGCTAGCTGGAGTTACATGTACCGTCTACCTGGTTACGCGTGGTAGTTACCGGTGAGGGGTAAATCATGAAACCGAAAAGGAACAACCAAACAGAGACCAACAGCGACCAGCTGGGAAAAAGATGGAAGCCAAACAAGAAACAGTAACAATAAACGCTTCCCCCGAGGCCGAGGGGCTAATGAGACATGAATCATGATTCATGATGTTGATGATCAGGAGCCAACCGATGGACAATTATGTTATCAAGATGATATGAACATCAGAACATCGTACATCAATGGCGGAACGAGTTGGTTATGGACACTAGGACTGGACTGGAATATGGTCAGTGAGTTAATTTCTTGGGTGGGGAACTGCATGTGACGCAGAGAAGTCGGCAGCACCATTTTGGGATGTCTGAAAGTAATGGGGAGCTTTCTCCAACCTCTCCTCTCTTAATTCATTTTTCTTCCCTTTTCATCAAACGAATCGATTGCGTAGAAAGTCATTAATTTCCCTTTCATGATCATTGATATGATAATTTCGTTTGTAGCGACCTACCTGGTTAGACTTTTTCTTTCTTGCCCCTTTGTGTGAGTGTTCTGTGCGTAATAGGAGAGCCAGGCAAGAGACGTCCCTTAATTTCCTTAGTGCACCATAGACTTACGCTTTACAGCTACAAATCAATTATCCTAATAAAGTCATGCACAATCTCAAATTTAGTTGTTGATCTCTATGATGCCGTCGCAAAACTGAGTGTATATATGCACCAAATCATGAAAATAGTCTTAAGACAAAGAATTTTGAATTTTATGTAGTACCGTTAGTCTAAATTGATTATATAATACATAATTATAACTAATCCGATCCATATATATTAACCCTGAAACCCAAAATTGTAAAACCTTAAAATCAAATTTTTTTTTTTTTTTTGCATATTCGTGTATTTTCTTGTCTATGTGACAAAAATTGACATCATTTCGAAATAAAATACCTACTAAAAATAACTATTACGTACCCAAAAAAAGTTACTAGCAAGTTTACAAGTTCAATACATAAATGTTAATGTTGAGACATATTACACATATTCAATAGTTTTTGTAATGGTCAATTGTGGAAATAAAGCAATCAATCATATATAGGGGTGTTCAAACGGTTTGGTTACCATGGTAACCGTTTTAACCGGTACTATTTGGATAATTTGGTTTGGTTAATTTGGATAATTGGTTTGGTTTGGTTAAAATTTTTAGCTTGTTTGGTTTAGGTGGTTTGGTTTCAGACACTCCTAACCAGTCAAACCAAATTAACCAGTTAAGTAATTAGTCATATATCTAACATATATTATATACACATACTTAATACTTTACATAACCTTTTTTTGAACAATACTCAAGAGTTAACGTTCATCCCTTTTAGACTCATAAAATATAAAGCTCAATATTGCTCATAATAGCCATAATTTGTTGTAGTGATATTTGTATATGTAAAATGTAGACCACAACATATGGACGCCTAATTTAGATAAATTTCATACATTATGATGGATGAAAACTTGAAAGGAAGGTTATTTCCAGCCTATAATAACTGCTAAGAGACTAAGTCAATTTACACAAACACAACAATTCATTAACCCATAACATTGTCATAAATTTTCGTTAGGCGAATACTTCTATACTAATCGTAAGATAATTGTCTTAGTTGCATGTATTTTTGTTAAGGGTCAACTATAACTACGTGTTGATTGTTATGTTTTATTCATTATATAAATTGCCAATTGTTACATTAACCGAAAAATTTTCATCATCAATGATAATGTGATTTTATATTGGTTAATCTGGTTAACCAATTAACCAAACCGACTAAACTTTAGTTTGGTTAATTTGGTTGTTGTATTAGTTTGGACGGTTTGGTTATGATATTGTATTCCTTGATTAATGGAATTTAGTCTTATTTGGTTTGGTTATAACCATGGTAACCATTTGAACACCCCTAATCATATAAATGACGAGCTTTGCCATAACCCAAATGGGGAACATATCCATAATCACAGTACTTAGGAGCCTCTCTTATGAATAATTTGAAATTAACCGAAAGACAAAGAGGCCATCATTGCCCATTTTCGGGGGCCAAAGATAAAAAGAAAGAAGAGACTGAAGGGTTAGCAAGTGATCTCGTTGCTGGCTATCTCCTAATACTGTGGGGGGTAATACTGAGTTATTAGGAGGAACAAACAGAAGCTACGCATGCCGTTGAACAATATGCATGCAAACACAGACAAAACACTGTACATACAATACAACACAGGAATCCAAAACGCAACCAAATGCCTCAAATCCAATCCTTAGATTCAAATTTTATTTTTTATGTGTTTATTTACAGGTTCCTTTTTGCGGGGTTTTTTCTGGTGTCTTTCCAGCTATGGGAGAAAATGTAATGGTTTGTATTGTTGGATAATTTGATGTCATTATCATAATATTTAATCGGACTTATATGTATTTTTAATAATTTTGTATTTAAATGGAATTTGAATTGATTTCTATTTAGATATATTCATATTGTCACCAAAAAAAATATTCATATTAGTGTTTTCAACTTTTTGTTTTGTTTGTTCATTAAAAAATTATGACAAAAATTGTATTAGAATTGAGTATCTTTTTTCTTTTGGGTACTCAATGCTATAAGTTCAATTTAGATCTGTACTTAAACCTTGGAGTGTGTCCCTCTCAAAAGAAAGATTGCTCAAACTTGATTTTGACTCAAACTATGATGGATTTAGGGAATTCATAATAGTTGAGTCCTTTTTGTCCTCTAACTATGAGATTCGGTACTGAATCATGTATGATGTTATCAGTATTAGGATATAATGATGATTTGCACTCAGAAATAAATTAACTTACATAAAACACTAGTAGATCACAGATTAAGAGGGCTGGCTATTTGGTCCGGGTTTTTTGGTTTTACCCGAAACCGGACCGTATAACTCGGACTGAGACCGGACCGGAACCGGATAGTAAACAATCCAATCCAATATTTGGGCTTAGATTTGAGGTAAAAAACCGTTTGGGATCGAATCGAAAACTGGATAAAGACCGGATAAGAGAGCTCAACACCCAAATTAACTTAAGGATAATTTGCATAAACGGTCACAAACATTTGCACTTAGTACAAAACATAATTTAGTTATTAGCTTAAACCATTCCCCGCGGTCATTAATCTAGTCATTGGGAATTCCATAATGATTTCCTATTCGATTTCGTTGTGCTGTAAGTTAATTTATTTCTGAGTGCAAATCATCATTATTTCTGAGTTCAATATAAAATCAAGATCGAATTGGGATCGGACCGGGTCAAGACCAGATCATATCCAATCCAATCTTTGGTCCTTATATTTTCAAAAAGACCGAATTGAACCAGATCAATTTGAACCAATTTAACCGAACCGGACCGGACCGTTCTAAACTACGACAAAACCATACCATTTATTCCATCCACAATTACCTAGCATACAACCCAACTATTTACTTCATCTTGTTACATGAAAAGCAAAGCGATTTGTCTTTATAAATAATAATAATAATAATAATAATAATAATAATAATAATAATAATTGAATTCTAACTCTCATCATCAGTCATCACTTTATATAAGTGTAGTGGTCGCCTGTGCGAAGCCAACAGTTGTAACTCCAAACAGAGTGTGAGAGAATGGGGAAGAGATTCCAGTTGCCCAAGTTCTCCCGAGTGATCCCATCATCTTTCCACTACTGCCGTTCCAAAAACCTGGACGACACCTGTCCTTCTTCCCATCCCGCCCCTATTCCCTCCTTCCACCGCCTTGTCTCCTCCTCCTCCGCCACCGCCGCTCATCCCCTGCCTCCTCCGCCAGATCATCCCAGCAGCAGTAAGCCACGTGACTCCTCCTCCTCCTCTTCCATCAAGCGCCACGTGTCCTCCGCCATCACCTCCATCGGCTGCGGCTGCGCCTCCAAATCCACCGCCTCCGCCCCGCCGCATCCGGGGAGGAGGCACGTGCTCCGCTGGGAGGAGGAGGACAAATGGCACGTGGCTGTCGCTAGCAATCACGTGATCCTCCCCCCTGCCTCGAAGAAGGCAGCGTCGAAACGGCGCGTGAAGAAGAAGAAGAAGAAGAAGAAAACGACGCGGATCCGGATCTCGACTTCCTCCGCCGACACGGGGGGACTCTTCAGCAGCGAAGGAGGCCCGGAGGACCACGACGAGGGCGAGGAAATGGAGGCGACGCTGGTGTCGTCCTGTAGAAGCTTCTCCACCGACGACGACGACGACGATGATGACGTGGCAGGCTCCTCATCCCCTCGGTTGAAGCCCATCAGCGAGACGGTACTATTTGGGGGCGGGACCAGGAGGAAGGACGACAGACGAGGAGCGCGCAGGAGGCGGCGGAGGAAGGCGGCGGCGGCGGCGGAGGTGGGGTCGCCGGCGAGGTTGTCGAGGTTCTCGCAGTGGGTGATGCCGTGCAAGGTGGAAGGGAAAGTGAAGGAGAGCTACGCGGTGGTGAAGAGGTCGGAGGATCCGAGGGAGGATTTCAAGAGGTCGATGGCGGAGATGATTAGGGAGAAGGAGATGTTCGAGGAGAAGGATCTGGAGCAGCTGCTGCGCTGCTTTCTGTCGCTGAATTCCAAGGATCACCACCCGGTCATCGTCCAGGCTTTCTCCGAGATTTGGGAGGACTTAATTTAATTATTTAAGTTTAGTCTTAGTTAATCTCTGCCGTTAATTATATTAGTAATTAGTTAATTATTGTGGCGTTTCGTCAAACGAGTCGGGATCATATGGTTTTGACTGGAGAAAACGGTGTCTTTAATTAGCTAGGCGAGGTGTTGTCTTGTCAATCATGCAGGAAATGGAAATACTCAATTCTTGGTTACTTCGTGCAAGTTGCAACAGTGGAAATGAAAAACCAGTATTAGTGGCCGCCACCGCCTTCAAGCCTGCGCGTGGGGCAATGAAGCTAGGTTTAAAGTTACTAGTAGAGGAAGATGACCTAATAGGCAGAATGAGAGCCTATTATTGCTAATGCTTGATGACAGCTAGGAGGCTATGTGTTTGACTGTTGTGAATTGTGATAATTAGGGGTGGGCAAGGGTTGGTTCATACCGGATTACACCGGACCGAATCTATGTTTGGATCGGATCACATCGAATTGAATATAATATGGTCTGGTCCTTGGTCCAATGGATTTCATAAATACTAAAGAAAAATGAACCAAATTTACTTTTGGATCGGACTAAAACAGATCGAATGTACTATTGATATCTAGTCCTTGATTCTTAGATATCTTTCACTATTAGACCGTGGTTCACCCGAGTCAGACCAGACCGATGCTTACCCGTAGTGATAATAATGATTATGGTAATTAAGTAAATGGTAAAGGTTAGGGGGGGGAGGCCGGGGTCTTCCCTTTCACTTTTCTCTTTTTCTTAACCTCTATCCAATCTATTCCCTCCCCTCCCCTTTTCACTCCGCTGATTACTCCTCCAATAGTACTGCATTATTGAATTGAATCTATATGCTTGCTTTTCTTGTTTATAATTGAACCATCATGGACCAACAACACGTACGTACGTACATGGCTAAAAGATACAAGAAAGAAGGTCACAGCAGGCCAGGGGTGGAGAGTTTATTGTTGTCTTGAAGAATTAATGCATCGATTTCATCAGCTGAGGGGTGATTTTACGGGCGGCGTGCGTTCCTTCCCCAAAATATAATCATCCAAAGCCATCTCTCTGATTCTCATCTCTGCATGCATGCTGTGTCACAGTACTGGCTGCCATGCAACTTTCACTAGTCTTAGCTTGTGTATACTTACACGAACTCGGCGTATATCTCAGGAGCTGGGATGTAAAGTGAACTGAAGCGCCCTTTCTTTCTCTCTATGGCCCCTACCAGCTTTTACTTTTGGCTCCCAACCCAACACACAAGAAACGGGAAAACTCGATACTACACAGCAATATTGTACTTTCACTCTTTCAGTGAGTGAGAGTGAGAGTGAGAGTGAGAGTGAGAGGGAGATGAAATATGTGATGATGAGCAGCAGCCATGAAAGCGACCACAGTGCCATTGTGGAGTGAAGCAAAGCAATCAATTCCACACGGCATCAGAGATTTCCCCTTTGCCCTGCATATATGTACACTGATGGCTCGCCCTCCCAGGAATTTCATTGTAGATATACACGCCACCCAAATTTCTAATCTGGAGAAATAGAGAATACTCGGGAAAATGATATGGGTGGGTTGGATTAGGAATTTGCCGTAGTTGCGTATGTTAAATCGTAGTATGGAGTATTTTCATATTAATTGTTTGGTTGTTGGGATTATAATTTATGAATGGGTAATGACTATTTATTAGCCCAACCTTTTTTTGGATTCTTTTTTACTAGACAAACCTGTCGAAATACTAAGAATTAATTAACCAAATGTTAACTTTCAGTTAACAATTTTGTTAGTAATATTGATTTGGCAACATGATACTGACTTGAAAACGACACATGAAGGTCAACATACCATAATTTTAGTATTTTAACTAAGAAAAGAGTTATAAAATTATTAACGATAACATAAAAAAATGGCTAATATTTTGATGCATTACGAAATATTTGAATAATTAATAACATTTTAATAGATTTAGATAATATAAAAGAATCTGAAAATATTTGGATAAAAAATAGAGATTACTCTTTATGAATTGATTGTCATAAAGTTAGTTTATAAAAAAATATCACATTTACCCTACACTTTCGATATAAAATAAAAGGAACTATGAATACAAATGTAAAAAAGAAAAGGGGTCTAACTTAAACCAACAATCACAATTAGTGTTTTTTAGGAAAACAATCACAATTAGTTAAGATTGTACAATCCCTCATTTTTGTTGATTGTAGGTGGGAGCCACACAAGCAATACATGCATTGTTTTGCAACTTGACACTTTCAAACGTTGTATTGTGGACAATGCATATATTTAACAAATACAACACTAACAATCACAACTTTCAAATGACCCCTTGGTTATGAGGGATTTAGATCCAAATACATCAATAAAAATTTAGAGATTTTACATGGGTCGTTTGACCGCAGTCATTTGGTATACTAATTGGATTAAATTCCTACACAATGCAGTAAATTGGCTAGCATAATGCATTTGTTTGGATGGGCAAAGACACTAAAAAAATTAAGAGCCTATGCCACGGATTTTTTTGGCCTATTAAAGGGTTTTAACCCCTGATACAAATTGTAGCAAGAATTTTTTCAACCCCTAAACCAACGCTTGCTAGTGTCTGCTATAGATAGCAATGACTTTTAGCAACTCACGATGGAAATATTGTCTAAGGGTTATAGCAGGGGTTCATACCGTTGCTACTTCTTTCAAGTTAAAACCCCTATTACATGATAGTTTAAAATCTAACAAATATGTTCGTAGTTAGGGTTTAAACCCCCACTACATTTGTTGCTAAAACTAGCTAGGGTTAGAAACCAGTGAACGACATAATTGCAACAGGATTATACTTATATAATAATGGACGAATTCTGTTTCTGAAGAGAGCTGGTCGTACGATGGAGTTCATACAGCCTCGTTGCACTACCGTGACCAAATAGCGTTTCAAGATCCAACAAGATTTCACAAGTCGTTTTAGCAAAATAAACGCTGCTATGCACATCCTTGCTCATGGAAGTCTTCAACCAACCCTTGATCGTGGCATCACATTGCTTCCATGTTTCACGCTCGCCGCCGCCGCTGGACAAGGGATTGATCCATCCACGATCCCAAGTTTTTTTTGGCGATCAAAGAGTCTGTAATATCACCGGCCCATTCACTGAAGTTGAATCCTGTGAGCAAATCCTCAACATACAAGTAACTGGGAGAATCATATTGATGGAGAAACAGAGGAGACGGGGTTGAGCCACTGGTTTCACATCACCCCCGCCACCAGTCTTATTTCCTTCGTCGTCGGACATGATGAGATTAACTGTGGAATCGTCTCACCGCTTTGATACCATGAAGAGAATGTAAATAAATAAGGAGACACGTACAATGATATTTACACGGTTTTTCCATTCGATGTGAACGAGACTACTCAACGGACTTTCAAAATTGATTGATTAAGCCACCGATTTCAACGATATATAATGGCCAAACTTCTCCTAATTCTACTCGACTACATGAGAAAAGGGAAATTACAAAAAGAGTCCCTTAGATAGACAATGTGACAGATAAGGACACATAACAAATGAGTTTCGAATTGTTATTTGTTTGAATAGCTTTTCGTTATGCTAATAATTGCCTTCATCATTGTGTTTCAAATTAATTCCCTAAATACAGTAATAATTAAAAATAATTCCCAGAATACATAACTTTTATAAAAAATTCCCAAACTACCAAAGTTTGACACGATTCGAGTTCAACAAACTCGAACTAGAACCGGATCGACTGCCAACAAATCGATCCACGTGCATCGAGGAAGGAAGACTCGAACAGCAAGACCTGGATCGATGACCTGGGCAGCGCTCCACCCTAGATCGATGTACCGGGAAGCGATCTAGGTCGTTCGATTGCTGAACCCGCGAAGCAGTGATGACGCGCATCGAGCGTGGGAAACTCGATGTCAGTAGATCGAGTTCGTGGCAATCGATCTGATTGACGCTGATCGATGACGTCAGGCGCGCACTACCGTCGATCGAGTACCCTAAACTCGATCTAGGCCGTTCGATTGCCAAACCCGCGAAGCAGTGATGACGCGGATCGAGTTGTTCTATTTCTTTAGAGTTGTTAAGTTGTTCTATTTCTAATGACGTTGTTAAGTTGTTCTATTTCTTTAGAGTTGTTAAGTTGTTCTATTTCTAATGACGTTGTTAAGTTGTTCTATTTCTCTAGAGTTGTTAATTTGTTCTATTTCACAACATAAAATTCATATTACAACATAAAATTCAAATTACAACATAAAGTTCTTAAATCACAACATAAAATTTAAATTACAACATAAAGTTCTTAAATCACAACATAAAATTCAAATTACAACATAAACTTTCAATTGTCAGTCGATGGCCCTGGACACTGGCGCCTATCATGCCCTTCAACTCGACATGCAGAGCACTTCTTCGGACGACGTCGCTGTGTCCTCGATCAATCCATTTCATTTGCAATTCGGTTAACTCTAGGTCGACCTTTGGTACGCTTCATAGGCTCGGGAGGGTACAGTACAGGTCCATCATACTGGGGCCAATATGCTTCATGAGCTAAGGGAAATAACGATCCTTCCCAAACTCTTACCACGTATGGAGTCTTGTAGTATGGACTAACAAATATCAAAGGGTCCAAATTAACGCTTCTCGCTGCTGCATATGCATGAGAGCAAGGCAGGTGTCTCCCTTGAAACTTCCCACAAGTACACTCTCCTATTCCATTCCTTGCATCCAGTATAACTGTTTGAGCATTACCACCCTTTGAACTATCTGGTCCACTTCCTGTTACTACTGCGAAGCGGGAATCTCTTCGACTAAATAAAGTCACCTTATGCCATTTTGCCCTTTCCGACCATGGTTTCATATCATCCGTAATCTTCTTTGGGATGTAGATTCCAGCATTCAGCATCTGATATGCTGCTTGGTAGCGTTCAACGAACCATGTCATCGTACGAAAGAAGGTATGCAAGACTATAGATGAGATAGGCATTGCACGAAGACC